ACCCTGAAGCAAGTAGGTACCTTAAACTCTTCCACATTAAGCCATTTGAAGTATAGCTAATTTTACTAGCGTCAGTGCTGGCTCTCTCGGTATATCCCTTCCTTCTTTACCTAGCCGATACTCTGCTACCCTGATTATTTACAGCATCTTGGCTTTTTATTATGTTTCCGATTGTGCAATATGAATCTCTCTTTCTTATAGCGAAACATTCAGTCGAGGTTTCCCTTTCTTGAGAATACTTCCTCTTTTACCGAACAGTACTAATGCATTTGTGTGGGTGTGTTTGGAAATGTATTGGGGCGTATTTCGAAAGAATTATCGCTGCTCCTTTTGAGACGGCTGATTTGGTATTGAAGAAAGTGCATTTAGTATAAAATGTACCTGTGGTTGTACAAGGAAGTATTAAAATTTAAGGTCATAGACTGCAGTATATATTTACAATAATATAACATACACTTATTACAGTATAGTATCTATATATAATAGCATTATATATACTTTCTAATAATAATAATAATAATAAATTTAAATTATAACTACAATAGTCAAGCTATAATATATTGCAATTTCTATAGTATTAGTTTTAAAAATGGCTTATTTAATATTTAAGCAGGTTTATTTGGTATTTACAAAAGCAGGGCTTTTATAAGGAAGTCCTGGGCCCTTAATGTCTATATTACAGCAGCTTCTACAATATAGTGCATATGTACTGTAATACAGTACTTATCGGCTATAATATAGTATATCTGCTATATCTTAAGTTATAAACTAATAATTATATCTACAATACTTGATTAAATTTCTTTAAGCTATATACTTATCTAAATATATATTTATATATATATATTAACCCTAAATATTAGAAATTCCACTATTTTAGATACTAACTAAGTCTATTTGGATACAGGATATGCTATTGCTAGTTTTACTACTAAGGCTCTGTTGTTATTATATATAAGTATCTACATTATCCGCTTTGTTGGTAGTGTCACTTGTACTCTTTATCTTTTCTAAGTCTTCATCATGTCTTATCGTATTCAGAAGTTCAAAAGCTCCGACTGTACCAAGAAACAAAAAAATAATAATAAGAGTGTAGCTCTAATTTCATCGACTCTCTCGCAACCTACCGAAATAAAGCCTTTTTTTATTGTGAAAAGAAAGGTACTCAGTGTTTGGCTTCTGAGAAAGATTCCAATCGTTGCTCAGAATGTGTGAAAGATTATAAGGCTTTTACTGCTCAGCAGTCCTTACACATCTCTCGTCGTCGGGATCAGTTGGATAGTGAGATAGAGGCTGCTGAAGAGGAAGTAATGTTGCTTATCGCAAGGGTCAATCATCTCCGTAAGCAGCGCAAGGATTGGATAGAGAAGGCAGCGCGAGCAGTATCTCGCGATATTAATAATTTGGAAGAATTGGAGAGTGTGGAGCAGGAACAAGAGGAGAGCGGCTGTGATAAGGCAGCTCGCCAGGCTATGTTATTAGTGCCTAGTTCAACTACTAACGACGCGTCCCATTCCAAGGACGCTGCTAATTGGTTTGCATTTATTCTGGATCCTCTATTATTTCCATCTATAGAGCCTAGTAGTATGCTTACAGAGACACCTAGGCGCTTTTAGAACTACTTTCAAGTAATATATTATATACCTTTTGACTATATAAATTATTAGTATCCTTTACTTTTTACTAAAAAAAAAAAAAAAGATTTTATTCTACTATTTTTTATATTAAAGAAACAACATATATTATTATTAACTACCTTAAATAAAGTTTTTATTATAATTAATTCCTTTTTAACATACTGGTCCTTTTACTAAATTTCAATATCTGCCAAGGTATGTTTTAAACTGCTAGTGCTAAAATTTAATGTTGTCAAGAGTTTTTCTTAGCGGTGGCAGTGGGGTCCAGGCTCCACTATCGTAAACACCCATAAACCTGTTATATAGCGAAACATGTGGTAGGACTGGGGGTGGACACTGTGAGGCACGTCGTGTGATATACAGTAATCAATTGATCTCTGCAATGCAGGAGCATGCAATGCTACATGAATGTGGATGCAACAGTATTAATCACGTGAATTCAGCCACAGGGTAAGCTAGACTCGGGAATATACAAACTCCGATCCAGGTTCAATTTACCACGCGGCAATGTCAAAAGCGCCCTCACGCTACCACCCAAGCCCTGACTTCTACGCCACTGCAGGCTACAACAAACGCCGCTCTTCGCCTTCAATGAATACTTCACGTAGCGAGCCGCAGAGGGCGCATGGAGAAACCGGAAAACGTGCACCCAAAGCCAACAAGTCATGTCTGCCCTGCCGTGTGCGCAAGGTCAAGTGCGACGCCACCGTAATCGGCCTCCCCTGCAGCAGCTGTACCAGCAGGCAGTGCGCTAAGGACTGTGTGCTACATGTCCGTAAGGGTCGGTCTAGGTAAGTGGTTCACTGCTAGGATAGCTCATGGTTCCTGATTGATGAGGCTCGTGCTAAAACTGATAGGGCTCATAGGAAAGCAGTACACGTTTTACCAGCTCCTAGCAGTGTACAAGTATGCCTAGAATATCTCTCAGCTGCTTCTCTCGTCTTCTTGTTCTTCTGCTCCTTCGGCGATCCTTTCAAATCCCCACTAACCTGTTAAAAGACCAGACTCTCCCCGGCTACATCCCAAAGTAGCCAGTTAGACACACTTAATCAATCTAATCAAAGACAATCTTCCACTTCCGATCATTCGGACTGCCAAAACCCACCTCAGACTGAACCAGACCTGCTCTACCTTAATATCCTAAATGACGCTGTGAAAGAAACAACAGAATCAAGTCAGCATCACACCATTTCTAATACCCCCTACCGTTCAAGGCCGGAAGAGAGCTTTACTCCTCGGAACTGCCTATGGACCAAGCTACCCCAATTGGACGACATTGACAATGAATATCTTGCCAAGAAGGGTGTCTTTGATCTACCTCCTCCGCAGCACTTGTAAGACAGTCTAGAATCCTTCATTCCCCCACCCTCTTTAGGTCTTCGTCTTCACTCTACTTACAGGGGAAAAAAATGACAGAGATACCCTAGTTAAGACATATTTTGATCACGTCTGTACTTTTGCTCCCGTGATTAACAGAGCTGATTTCATTCGCGGCTATCAATCCGGCGACTGCTCTTTGTTCCTACTCCACGTCATATTGACACCGGCCAGTCTCCATGCGCCAGTGGATGTGCTCTCTGCCTGTGGCTTTGCTAGCCGCTCGGCCGCGCAAGAGTCGTTCTTCTCCAAGGCCAAGCTGCTCCATAACTTTGCTGCTGAAGATGACCCGTTGTTGATGCTTCAGGGATCCATCATCTTGTGCATGGTGATTCTTGACCACCCCACCGACCGGGACTTTAGCTATTGGTTCCATAATGCGATCCGTCTTGCCACTAAGCTTGACCTACGAGACACGTGCGTTCCCTACTCCTGAATTGTGACACCTGTAACAGTTATTGCAGGTACTAACTGCCTACTGACTCTCCAATAGGTGTATTCGAGAAGACAAACCCCGCAAAATTATAAAGTTGTACAGAAGGATCTGGTGGACTCTCTACGTATGTCCCTTTTCTCGTCGCTATGTTTTGTTCCCCCTACTCTATGCTTACTATAGATATGTAGTTTTTAGACATTTTCAACGTCTTTGTCAATACTAGACGCTCGCGACTACTCGAAAACACATCCGCCATTAAACCGAGGACGGAGGATGACTGGGAAGCTGAGGATGTCTCGGGAGCATCATCCGGCTTGCTATCGGTGGTCACGCCTCAGCAAAAAGCATCTCCTGTTGCCCTCTGCGAGTTGTCTCGAATATGTACGTGCTGGCTCTATGTGAATCTTTGTTCTTATTCCGTTTTATTCTTATTTTCACTCTGTACTGATACCATAAGCATGGCTAACTCTGTTTAGTCGGCCAGTGTTTGTCCATTGTGATAAACAAGCCACATCAGGATCCTCGCCAAATGATGCATCCACTCGATACATGGCGCAAGTCTCTTGCTAACAAGATGCACGTGGGTGGAAATATTGGAACTGACGTGTACTATCTGAATATACAAGCCATGAGCTACAGGTTTGAGTGCATATTGTGTCGTCTGATACGACGCCGTTTGCAGCAGTCGCAACATGCGGACTGGAGCGAGTGGGCCAAAGAGCGGCTTCGATCCGCTATTCTCGAGTTGGACATGATCTCTATGAGGGTGTTGGCGAGTGGTACCCTTCAGGACTTTCCCATGCCTTTGTACGTTCTGTCCATTTCTTCTCATTTTCCCAATGCTTAGGCATGCTTTATAGAACGCACTAATGGAACTGACAAGGGCCTTGTTAGCATTACCACAATAACTGCGCTGCTCGCTCTACACATCGAATCGGCCCTCGATCCAGCCGAGACAGACCTCGTCCGTTCTATGGCTCGGATATCCATCAGCCAGACAATGCTTGTTCTCACCCAGGGAAAAGAAATACCAGCCCTAAAAAGAGCGCTACCGGTATTTGAGGAGATCCTTGCAAAGAAAAATCTGTATCCGGTTCAACCCAGCGTTCTCGGTCAAGCCCCTACACAGTCGCAGTCGCAGTCGCAGGACAACATCATGGCGGATGCTTACACCTCGCCGAACGCACAGTTCAATATAGTTCCGTCTCAATTAGAGCAGGGTGAGAGCAATCTGCCACTCTATGGAGATTTCCTAGGACTTGATTTCTTGGATGATTGGAGATTGGGCAGCTGGAATTCACTATTCGATGTTGACATGGGCTCCCAAGGACAGGCGGAATAGAGGCATAAACAATTATCTAGCTGTAGCAATAGAACAACCTGGGCCATTGCAGCAATCATTTTGTTTGTTATTATTTTCTCAATTGTGATCAATTTGGGCAGTAAAAAGGATATTCAATATGAGAATGCTCATGGCTAGGTAGCTCAAGTCCAATTGATCTCCTTTTATCTGATAAGAGACAATGCTTGTACTCTTTCGTCAAATGTATCTAATACACACTTCCAAGGAGTCCATTGCTTTGTAAAATAGACAGATGGTGAGGACCGATGTCTGATACCTTAGTACATCCTGTCAGCCCCATACAGCTTTTGAACTCTTTGATAATGATATCCAGGCCAAGGCCTACGCCAGCAGAACCGTTGTACTAACAGCAAATTAGATCGAGAACACGATATTAATGAGAAACGAACTATATCTTTTCTGCTTGAAATGGGGGAATGAATGGTCTTACCGCTAAGCCACAGATGGCAATTCTTCCCCCAAAAACAAAGTCCGCTCCGAGGGCGATGGCCTTGAAAATGTCCGAGCCCCGGTAGACGCCACCATCCAAAGCTAGAGGGATCCTGCCCTTGGCGATTGGCGCAACTTTTCGAAGGATGTCAATAGTGGCAGGTGTGGTGTCTAGTTGCCGACCACCGTTGTTGGAGATGATGATACCATCCACCCCATGTTTGATGGCATTCTCAACATCCTCTTTAGAGGTGACTGCAGCCGGAAAATGATTCGGTCAGTATGTGAAACAGTATAAATGGCGGGGTCCGATGTGCTTTTCACAGTGGAACTGACCTCCCTTCACCCAGAGCTCGAGATCTGTCTGGCTTCGAACCCAAGGAATGAATTCTTCCCAGGTTTCAGAGGCACCTAAAATTGGTCCATGAGAAAGTTACTTTGAATAAGTGCGAGGATGTTACATGATACATACTGACGGAAATTTCACTTGGTTTCACATGTTGTGCGGCGACGTTTGGGAAAGTCGCGCCTGGTGGAATGATGCTCCAATTGTTGCGCTCATCCGCCAGACGTCGGCCATACATGGGAGCGTCCACGGTCAAGATAACAGCGTTGTATCCGGCAGCTGAACACCAAGTTGTCAACAACAGTTTACTGTAAGTTGTAACTGTGTACTTAGAGTATGGGGCCTACCTTTGGCTCGGATGAGTAGGTTGCTCAAGACTTCGCGCTTATTCAGCGGGCTGATGTGAATACCGTACGGCGTAGGGCCATCGGTTCTTTGGGCCGCCACGTCTTCCAGGGAGTCGTTGGACAGGAGAGAAAGGACCATGGGCACGTTACGTGCAGCTGCAGCCTTTGATGTACCAATCTCACCATCTGCATGGATGAGTCGATGCATTGCACTTGGAGCCAAGCCAAAGGGTACTGCCGCTTTCTTGCCCCACAATGTGGTGCTCATGTCGATGTTCTCGACATTGCGCAGGACTCGCGGCCGTAGAAGATATTTATTGAACGCGGTTTCATTCCAATCAAGTCTACAATCAATTATGTTCAGAGAAACAATCCATAATGATTGACCACTCTTTAAACAAAAAGGGAAGAAATCACGCACGTCAGTTCGTCCATGGCGCCGCCATTGTAATAGTCTGTATTTCTCCAGCATTAGCTTTATCACGCACACGCGCCCCAGTAAGAAAATCCCACCTTGATAAGACTGCGACAGTTTCTCGGATCCTGCCCTCTTGAGGTCTTTGATACAGGCAATCTGCTGGTCTTGCGTATTGGAGGACATTTTCCCTGTGGATTTGGTTCTTCTTTGCGATAGCTAAACTTCTAATGTGCGGACTGCGGATATTGCTTCGAGGCTGACGATTGGAAGATCAATTGTTTGATTCATTCGCATGGACTTCTCTTATATTAGGGCAGTGGCCCAGGATAAATGAAAGTGGTTTTGACAAACCCAAGATAAATTCGCTGTGGTAGTGCCTACTCTAGGCGCGTCTTACCTGGAAGCTGATCCAATCGGATAGAGCTACACTGCAATCAGGCCATTTTATTGATTGTGCTAGAATGGAACTCTCTCTCAAACAGGAGCAAACGTGCTCGATTACGATCAACCTTTGCTGGGTAAGCTCTGTGCGGCTGTGTATCGGATACTTTGTATCGGATACATTCGGCAGATGGACTTAGGTGGTGTGTTCCAAGTGCACAGATAACCTGATCGACGCTTACCCTCGTTAGCTGTAAGTTATTCGGTCTACCAGGGTATATGCATTGAGGTATCAAGGATATTCTTTTCTCTTATTAGTCTATTATTTAGGGATTTTCGTACCTTAGTGCATTAGACTCTACTTATATAACTCTTTTACTACGGCTTACCCTATAAGCCAACTGCAACGTATTGATTGTAAGAGCCAGCTATGAAGCCAGCTGTAATATAAATACTATTGCTGTAAATGTTTTATAAAAGTAATATTTCGATAAAATTATTAGTCATAGCATATAAGTAGATAGAAAATGAAAAAGATTCACTAATGAGACTTCTGGGAAAACACACATTGACAACCTGATATGGGATTACCTACCCCTGGAGCCAGACAACTTACAGCTAACAACAGTTGGCGTAGATCAGGTTGTTAGTACGCTAGTGTGGCACGACAATCCGGAATATTTGGAGCTGTGTGTGTGCTGACCAGCTAGCTCGTTAACTCATCTCTGAAAATCCCGGCTCCGGCTCCAACGCACCATCCTGCAGGGATAGTCTCTAGTCTCCGAAAGACTGCAAACTTACCCATCATTTACTAAACATCCCTCCGAATGGCACGTGGACTAGACGCAGGGACAGGGACGGGACTCTGTCGATCACTCTACAACCACGTGGGTTAATCTGTGCTATGCCGAGCTGCAGGGTATGCGAGTAGCACTTTATTGGGTATGTGACAATCCTAACCATCAGCCTCCCAACCCTGGCATGTATTCTTAACGCTAACCTGAACCAATCAAGTAGCCAAGTAACTCGAGGGTAGGGGCAACATGGTAGCTACGATAGGCACAAGCGGGTAAAGAATACCATCTGGACACCGTATTACTAGACCAAAGCCACCAGCCTAAAAATGCTGACCGCTGAGAGAAAGTCTTTCAAGAGCTTAAACTATTGAGCAACTTTGGGAGGAAGCTGCAAGAAGAGGGAGGGTTTCAAGGAGAGTAAGGCGAATCAAAGGAGCTGTATTATACAAGAGCGCCGGTGGCTCTACGTATGCGTGCCTTTACAGTTGCATGAATACAAGAGGGCGATGTTGCTGGGTCTTATTCTTACTCATACGATCTTTGCATAGACAAAATACCAGCAATAACAAGCTTGTATTAAAATCATAAACCAGAGCCGTTCAGTAGCAATTTGAATAAAATTGAAATCAGGCAGACTTCGTTTACTTAGGAGCCCCATTGATCCAGCCAAGTTTCGAACCAGGCAGGGGATACAGGTGTCAGCTGGGCGAAGACAGAGCTTCGTGCCAAGCCATTGCCCACAGCCCAGTTCGGGGTAGATAAAGCTGCGTTGACAGCATCATCACCTAATGTTTTCGCCATCCCCCGGAAAAAGGACAACAATTTGAGCCCCGTCTGCGCTCGGCTTGCCGCTGTCTACAAGGGAGTCGCCCCGTTCTTCTTCTCCACCTCTTGGACGATTGCGGCCTCGGCCGTCTCTAAGTCGTCCAGCCACTGGGAAAAGGGAACAACTTGCAATTTCTTCGGCGACAGAGCTGTCTCCAGACGATCCTGTACGGTTGGCAGCAGCGAATCCCAGCCAATGGTTCGGGGGTTAACGATGTTGTAATAGGTTTCCACTTCCTGAGTGCCACTACCCGTTGCTTTCGCATCCGAATCGATCAGCTGGCCCATGACCTCGGCCAACAGATCGATAGGAATCCAGTCCAGGGCCGTAGCACCACCTAGATTCGCGGGCAGTTTGCCGAGGTAAGCCGATGCGTCTATGATCTATTTGATGGATCAGCACAAATTGCTGGCTTAGAAAACAGGAAAAAATGGAAAGACAGGAAGCAAAGGCAACTTACCGCTGGCACTCAATCCCTCCGCGTCCATATGCTACCTTCCCCGTGAGTCGCAACGGGTCCTCCAACTTGACCCACGCGCAGGACCGAGAGACGCAGTACGCCTGATTGAGCAGCCTTGCTGAGCAGGTGCTCAGCCACGAGCTTGGAGGCGCCGTACCCGTTGATGGAGGCGTCTAGATTTGTTAGCTTAGTTTCAGGTATGGGGCCCAAGATGTGCGAGGGCCAATTCATGGCGCCACTGATAGAGGAGACAAAGAAGAAGCGAATCTTGTGCTGAGTCTCCGTGCAGATGCGAACCAGACTCTGGAGCCCGACGAGCTGTGTCTCAAAGGAGGACAGAGGGAGATTGAAGTTGACTTCCCATGCATTGTCTGCCAACATCATTGTTTAGTCATTTTCATAAGGGTATGCTGGGGGAACGATGCATATCACTCACGAATTATGGTCGTTGCTTGGTCTCGGATCTCTCTCAAGTCCGCCTGGCTCAGGCCAAGAGCCTCGGATGCCAAATCCATCTGGACAAACCGGACGTTGTTCTTCCGGTTCGAGGACAGCCCCTTCGACTTGGATATCTCGGCCTGTCTACAGGCCGCATCCTCCATGCTGCTGCGGTTCAAGCACCAGACTTTGGCAACACGATTGTTCTTGCACAGAGCATCAAGGAGATATGAGCCGATGGCCCCCGTCGTGCCCGTGAGGATGACGTATTCCTTTGGCTCCCTGGACAACACGAATGACGGCAAATGCTTGGAAATTGTTTGGGATACGGCCTTGGTGCGGTGGAGATCCGCCGTATCTGTTTCTTGGTATCCTTGACCGTTACTCTGCAGTTGCGCCCACACTACATGTGCTAGCCTGGCCATGGAAGCATTCGCATATATCATGCCGGGATTTATTTGGATAGGAGAGGAGGGAAAAGCAGAGCTGAGCAGTCTCGAAAGTCGGGTTACTTGGAGTGAGTCGAAGCCGTGTACAAGAAGGTTATCGTCATCTTCGACCTGTTCGAGTTCCAATCCCGGCGATACGATCTGAATGGCTTCCCGGATACCAGCACGGACAGTTCCCTCGCTGCTCCCTTCGATCTGCAGGGAGGCTACTGGCGAAGAGGATGAAGGTTCTGAGCCGACTGAGTCTCTGTAGATGTCGTCAAGCTCCTTGGTATAGAGCCGATCAATTCCGTAGCGTGCTACCGTACCTTTGGGTGTGCGCAGGAAGGGCATGCGCACAATTCGGACAAAGTTGCGGTGAACCTGGGCAAAAGCGGGCAAAGTCTTATTGATAGCCTCAATGGCTGGCCACACTTCTTCCATGATCTCAAGGTCGGAAGCCTCCAATCGATCCTGTGCCGGGTTGAGCAGCGCGGCCGTTTAAAAGCGACCTTGGCCGGCAATGTAGACGGCGGAAAGCCAGGGGTGGTGAGCCAACTGGAATTCGGCCGCTGCAGGGTTGAACTTTTCTCCGGTTGCAAACACGACGAGGTCATCCTTGCGAGTCTCGTACTTGTACAGTTCAGGGATTGTTGGATGGCGCGAGTACAAGTCTTTGGTTTCGTATATGTCCAGCTCGGGAAATGTCAGGAAGATGGTCTGGGTGGCTGCCAACTCTTTTCTCTTGACAAACACCAATTCAAACAGTGTATCCGAATAGAGTCGCATCTCGTAGCCGCAATCTGGATGGAAATGGTAATACGCCCACTCATCCGGATGCGTAGTCACGGACGGCACGACCAGGCCTTCCGTCATACCCATAGTCTGCATGATAGGGACACGGGGGTTGATGATATTACCCACAGGCGCCGGGACAGGGCCACTCGAGGACGTTACAAAACTTGAGTTTCGCAAGTTTGTCCAGGATGCGAGGCGTGTTGGCAATGTCTATGAGAACAAGGGGTGACATAAATGCGGAGTCTAGTTCAATGTTGGGGGCGGAAAGACGATTGTAAATCTAAAGAAAATGACACAGAACAAGCTAAAATTTAGACCAGCAGCCTAGAGATGTGAAACACCTTACGTTTAGCCACCGACTTCTTCTGTTTCTAGGCGTGCAAATGCGTGTGTAGAGGTACTTACATGAAATAAAGGTAGTGCGTTCAGCATTTTCGTGCCAGACCACTCTGCCAAAGTGGGCAACTTTCCTTGGATGCGCTTCATCCCACAAGCGCATCACCGGAAGACGCGGTTGCCAGTGTGATCGGTATCAGTCGTGGCAGGCCGGTCGAGCCAGTGGTGTGAAGTAGGCACAAAGTGTCATTGCGTCCTTCCTGCCATTCCTTCACATAGCGATATGGCTTGACGACTTTGGGATCAAGAAGCTCATTCACTTCAGGCACTCGAATTAAGGGCGGCTTGATGAAGTCGAATTTGCCGACACCTGGTGTTGTAATCCAGAACTCGCAGCCAAACTGCTTGATCAGAGAAAGATGTACTTCGGGGCTATTTCGTGGCGAGGACAGGAGGACCTTGTCGAGCATCAGTTGCGGGAAGAGCAGTAGTGGTAGGATGGGGATCACACCTTATTGCCAAGTTTTGTGGCTGCCACCACCAGAAGCAGGTATCTAATGTCATCTAAAAAAAGCACAAGAAGCATCAATATGGACCCCGCAAGCAAGAAAATTTCGGTCATATCCAGGACATACTCTGCCCAATGTAGCCTATTATCTTGGGCTCCGTTCCCACTTCGGACTGAAGCCACCAACACACTCTATTGATGGCATTGGCAAATATACTGGTGGTCACCACATCGTATCCTTGTGAAGGCTGGTTATTGCAGGGAGTGTAGAACAGCACTCGATCGGGTTCGTCTTGTGCAATCTTGTCAATCTCGACCGGGATCAGTCGTTTGCCATAGGCAGGAGATGGAGGCGCTGAACCCATTGTGATAATTTGAAGATTATACAACAACCAAGATGACAGCCAAAGCTATAACTTATACAACTTGGAGGTTCCGGGTACTACTTGTAGTCTATTTCCTGTTATTAAACCAGTTTTGGACTACAATAAGACCACAGGTTTAAAGCCAAAGAAGAATAAACCATATGCTGGAGACAGGCGATAAAGAAGCGCTGGAAGTCGCAAAATCTTCTTAATGCATGCTTTTGAAGACTTTGTTTGTGTTAGGGAGGAGTTTTCACTTACAGGATGCATTAAATCTAGTTTGTTATCGGAAGGTTTCCTACCATTCGGGGCTAAGTTAAAGGTCCGAACACTCAGAACATGTAGAATGTATTAAAACATTGTTTACTTAAATTAGTCCTTTTACTACCTACTGGTTCCCACTTTTAATAGCTAATTGGTTGGTTCCGCTTTATAATTGAGTTTAACAGATCGAGAAGGTTGTAAAATAGAAATAAAAATAAAAAGTAAATAAAATATAGCTTCATATCTAAAATAAATAGCTTTATAAAGTATAATGAATATTCTTGGGTTAATTGACAACGATAATCACTATAGGAAATGTATATCTTGCGAATCCACATTGAGCTACAAATCGGACGCATCAGTGTGCTTTACGGACGCAGTGACCACTCTGTTATTGATGTAGATTGTTACAGCCTGGTCCCTTGTAAATGGTTGATTACCTTATAGGCAGCTGGTTTTGCTACAGTAACTGCTACAATAGTGGTTATTGGCCTAATCTTTTGCCCTGTTTGGCTTAACGATATAACGGATCGTTACATAGATTGTATTAATGCTTATAGGCTACACTAACTATTTGCGATCCGGCACATGAAAAGCCAATGACTCAAATACAGTTTCTTACGGAGTTATGTTGTATTACTTTACAGTATTTTTAAAAGTTAGGCTTCAGAGACTTGATTTAAACCTAGATGGTCAGCATGCCTTTGATGTCGATTTGCAGCATATACACTATTGAGGAAAGTGTCCTAAAGTTGAGGCTTACATAGTGCTTACATAGCTTAAGGTGTGCTAAAGGACTTGGAAAAGTAAAGGTAAAAGGGTCTACCGGTGGATGTGTAATTTGTGAAGTATCTACCTGTAAGTGGAGGACTGTTGAAGAAGACATCATTCATTCAAGGTACCTGAATCGATGGCGATTACTATTGAGCTTATTCCACTACAAATGTAAGACGGATTCACAGTTGATCACTAAAAATGGAACCGACGGACAGTGTACTAAGGTATTTTACCGCTGAGCGACCCACCTTGATTGCAAGTCGGGAGGATAGGATGCACTAAAATTAATTTGTTATCGGATGGTTTCTCACTATTCGGGGCTAAGCCATTAAGTCTCCGAATGGTAGTCGAGCGTGTAGAAAATAGCAAAACCGCAAATACAATAGACTTGCTATTATATTTGTCTTTCCATGTCCTGGAAGCTTTACTCTTCTCACTATTCTCAGGTCTCAGTGATATACAAATAATAATTCATTATGGAACCATCCCCCTGGAAGAATTTTGAAACTCTCCAGCTTCATGCTGGATATGAACCCGATCCTGTTACTAGATCCACCGCGGTGCCTATCTACGCTACATCTGTTCGTCAACCGGGACCCTTTGTGTTATAAAGCCCCAGAGTCTAACGATTAATACTGTAGAGTTTCACTTTCAATGATTCTGCCCAGGCAGCGAGATTGTTTGGTCTTAGGGAGCTGGGAAACATCTACAGTCGCTTGACTAACGTTAGTGAACGATTCTTGGCTTTCTTGATTGTTGATACTCTGAACAGATGCTGAAACATGAAATGACAGCCTACTGTGGATGTCTTTGAGAAACGTATTGCTGCTCTCGAAGGCGGATTTGCCGCTCTAGCGACCGCTTCGGGCCAGGCCGCGCAGTATCTGACCTTGATCAGTCTGACCCGACCTGGTGACAACATCGTTGCCAGCTCGCATTTGTACGGCGGCACATACAGTCAGCTTGCCGTGCTCCTTCCTCGCTTCAACATCACGACCAAGTTTATTCAGAGCGTGAAACCTTCTGATTTCGCCGCGGCCATTGACGATAAGACGAAAGCTATTTATATCGAGAGCATTAGTAACCCAGACCTCCTTGTTCCAGACTTTGAGGCAATTGCCAAGATTGCCCACGACCATGGCATTCCCCTCATTGTGAGTTGCCTACCTGTGTACCTGTGTTGTGATAGACTGTAAACACAAAGAAAACAAGGAGAATTCTCCTACTGACGACGCTTGATGACATGTAGGTTGACAATACGCTCGGTGCCGGTGGCTACTTTGTTCGACCCATCGAGCATGGTGCGGACATTGTCGTCCACTCCGCTACCAAGTGGATCGGCGGCCACGGAACCACAATTGCCGGTGTAATCATTGATTCGGGACGTTTCGATTGGGCCAAGAATGGTGCCAAATTTCCAGAAATGGTCGAGCCATCACCGGCGTACCACGGCCTCAGTTATGCCGCTAGCTTTGGTCCAGCCACGTTTATCATGCGTGCCCGCATAGAGATGCTCCGCGACGTGGGCTCCTGCCTGAGCCCCTATGCCGCGCACCAGTTGCTAATTGGCCTTGAGACGCTGGCACTGCGAGCCGAGCGTCACGCGCAGAATGCAGCCCAGCTGGCGGCGTACTTCCAGGCCCACCCAGAGTATGTTAGCTGGATCCTATGGCCCGGTTCGGACAAACACCCCAGCCACAACATGGCCAAGAAGTACCTGAACCGTGGCTTTGGAGGGATGCTGAGTGTCGGCGTCAAGGGGGGTGCGGACCAAGGAAGCAGGATAGTAGATAACCTGAAACTGGTGTCTAACGTAGCGAACGTGGGTGACGCCAAGAGTCTGGCCATTCACCCATGGTCTACGACACACGAGCAATTGTCGGCAGAAGAGAAAAAGACCTCAGGGGTGACGGAGGATTTGATCCGTATATCCGTGGGCATCGAGCATATTGATGATATCATTGCCGATTTCACACAGGCATTCCAAGAGGTTTATGGACAGTAAAGAGTTTTTTTATTTATTTTTGTAGTGAAATAATAAAACTACACACTACAACTAAGGATCACTCTTGCAGAACTATATAAAGGATATGGAGACAGAAACGATTGCACCAAAACAAAATGACACTTTGCCCTGTTGACGAAGTATAATATCCTCGTGCTGTAGCAATCTATGGGGGTGAATATTAGCTATATGAACGAACTAAGTGGACCATTAGGGTCAAAGTTTAAATGCCAAGCCCGCCACGTGGCATTATTTTAAGCTTATTCAGGCGTGCTACGGTAATGTGTGGGGTTTGGAGGTCCGAAGACAGATTCATAGAGCTTCTCTGGCACTTATGACTTGATAGTGAGTGTTCGTCAATGTTGCGGTCGCCTCATTGGAGTGAAATCAATATCAACCCTCTCAAAATAACGAGGTAACTTGCAGGTACCTATTAAGGCCTACCTAGCTGAGTCGTAGCTATTAGTATCTCTGTCAAGGTGGGCATTCCCAAGACGCTTGCTCGACTTTTAAAGCATGAACAATGTGCCTAGAGTTCTCTCACGCTGTAATTTGGTCCAAAATCCTGAAAGTTACATTCCTGCCATACCACCTCTAATGCGAGAGATGTGTTCGTCAGCTCGGAACCCTCCGACTCGGATACGTCCGAAAGCCTCCGAAAACTCAGTCAGCGGATTTGTCTTGCAGATGCGTTTTGGACTTTACCATGCGCTAGGGTACTCAGTATTCTCATTGGTATACGTGACGCCATTAACATTCACTATTTAGATCATACCTCGAGACTCAAAGATGCAACGTAAATTAACCAAAGTGGTCTCCTCTTCCTATCATTACTCTCCATTTTCATCCCCCTCTCTGAGGCCATTTCCCATTTATTCGCATACAGATATCGGCCCACATCTATCTGACATGGCGGAAACCGTTCAAAAGATGACATGGGTGTATCAAAACCCGCCTACCGCACTGCTGGAACCGGGCGTAACCACCACCTTTGAGAACCGGCCTGTGCAGCTTGTAGCACCCCCTGGTGGCGTGGTCGTCAAGCTTCTAGTTGTCGGGATGGATCCCCACCAGCGAGACCGCATGCGTGGAGTCGGCAACGTGAGCTATGTTCCACCTTACGAGAAAGGAGAACCGGTCTCCAACTTCTCTATTGGTAAGGTCATCCGTACAGACAACCCCGACTGGGAAGACGGCTGCTTGATCGCCGGTATGCTACCCATCTCGGAGTATGCCGTCTTGGATCTCGATTACCTCAACTTCAAGGTATATGCCGCGAATGTCGTGCGAAAGGTGACCAACCACTACAATCTGGACCTCAAGCACTTCGTCGGCACGCTGGGTTTGGCGGGTATGACCGCATGGCTCTCATTCTACGGCCACGTCAAGCCCCGCCCAGGCGAGACCATTTGGGTCAGTGCAGCATCAAGCTCGGTTGGCGAAGTTGTGGTGCAGCTGGCTAAGATGAAGGGGATGAAGGTGATTGCGAGCGTGAGCTCGGACGAGAAGCTAAAATGGGTGGTCGACGAGCTGGGCGCCGACGTCGGTTTTAACTACCGAAAGGAGTCTGTCGATGCGGCGCTGAAGCGGTTGGCGCCGGACGGATTAGACGTGGTATATGAGATGATTGGAGGGGACCACTTGCAGGCAGCAATTGAGAACATGAAATTCTTTGGGCGAATCATCAGCTGTGGCACGGTACGTGCAATTGTTTTCCACGAAGAAAATGATCTGTAGGCCACTTGCATGTCTGGATTTTGGCTAATGTTCTTTCACAGGCTTCCCAATATAACAAACCTCCCGAGGAGCGGTACGGTATCACCAACACGTCCGAGATCTTCCGTCGCCGCATCAAGATTCAAGGATTCATGTTCCATGATAAGGACATTTTCCAACACGTTATCAGCTTCTCGATGACAATGCCAAGATTGATTGCAGAGGGCAAGATCAAGTCACAATACACCATATTTGAGGGGATCAGGCAGGCAGAGAAGGCATTCTTATCCATGTTTACCGGTGGCAGCTTTGGTAAAACGGCGCTGAAAATCAGTGATGAGTGATTCTGGTATCTGTTAAATAGGCTCAATAAGAAATGCCTATCCGGTATTAAAAGACACCGCTTAATTGGTATAAAAGAGAGGTCAAAGACCAATATCGCAATTTTTAAATGTACATTACTCTTGAATGGCTCCTTGAACGCTGTAAAATGTACCGCTATATCTACAGCGTAGTTATGAGTGTCAAGAATTCTAAAATACTAGTGCGAATAGCTTCAGTAGTAAGTCTTCGCTCTCGAGAGGGCCCTGGCTCCTTAAGAGAAATAATGCACAGAGTGGTAATATTATACGGATATGCCAGCAATATTTTTACCCGTAAGACACACCAGTGGGTGTGGTATAGGTCTCTAGTCTCTATCTTATATTGGTTAAGCGGTGCTTTGTTATATAGAATTAGGCCTCGAAACCTTACATAATGAACGAAATTAGCCACGCTTGAAGTCTTTTTACCCAAGGCAAGATCATAAAGAACAAGATATAAAATTAGTAGCATCCAAAATGGAAAGAAATTGATAAAAATGTTATTAGTATCAATTTTTATATCAACATATTCATATTTGAAAACACAAGTCTATTTGCTCGTCATTGGCAGCAGTCCTGTTAGTCAGAGCCTAGCGCCATCCAGCCTCTATATCAAGCTTTATCATATCCCGGAGATGATCGTACCAAAAACCTTTCAAAATGTCATTTATCTGACGAGATTCGAATAGAAAGGCATCGTGGCCGTCCTCACTCATGATCTCCCGCAGCGTGGCGCAGGGTATCGACCGGGCCAGCTCCTCCTGATCGGCGAAGGTGTACAGGCCATCGCTCTTTATCCCATGTCATGTATGCCACGGGGACATTGTGCATCTCCACACCGGAATCGAGGATAAATGAACGCTGGACATAGACCTTCTGACCTGGAATCCAGTGTGCAAATTTATTTTCAGGTGCAGGTAGTTGGCCATTTTGCCTCATTTCCGAAACTGCTTTTTGTTAGTCAACACTGCTAATCTGCTAGAGGAGTCAAGTTCTGACTACAAACCATGTCTTTGACTTTTCTCTTCCGCCACGAATTTGAAACATGGTGTTCACGTTGTTGTGTGTTGATCATCTTGTGAGTTCACCGTGGTGTCGGTCCTTACAATTATGCAATACCACAAGGTAATATCTGTCGTACTTCTAAAGAGCAATACTATCGATATTTCATCATTGATAGGTCTTAGTAATCTATTTCGCCAGCTAGTCAAACGCCATCGGAAATCTAAGCCATGCGTTTTTGGTCTGGCTTCCGAAAGGTACGGAAAGTTTCAGGCAAAGGCATCTAGAACTTCGGAGCTAGATCCCAAAAGTCATATACGGATGCAGGAGATGGGAAAAGAGAAAGGAATTGTATAATTTAGACGCATCCATTTCCATCCAGCATCGGAGGGTTTCAGGAGCTTACACCGAACAGTTATAAGAAGCAGGATTGCAAGACTAGATAAAAATAATACATTGTTAATGCAATAGTTAAGCTTTTGTGTTAATATAATAAAATAAAATAAAACCCTGCTTAATCTTAAATAGCCTATTTATATTTAAATATAATTGAAATTAAAAATTAAAAATTTAATATTAAATTAATAAACTAATAACTTATAAATAATTATAAATTAATATTATATTAATTTTAATATTTAATATAATTTAATATTAAAACAAATTAAATATAATTAAAGTTATAGTTTTAGAAATATTTATCAATTATAATAAATTTCTATATTTATTAATACTAAGTTATATTTAACTAGTTTAAATTGCTTAATAAGCTAATTAAAACCAAAACTTTAGATGTTACTATATCTGAGTCCAAAAACTACTAACTAATATAGCAACCCTGATCAGGAGGTTATAATTCCTGATGAAAACCTGCAATTTCAGCGCCACCCCGACCTTGAATTTCACTTTGTTATTAATAACGGCACGCAACCACTAGAGGGCCTATTCTCAATACCAGTATCCAATGTAATCCCGCCAAGATGCGGTTCCTTTGCCTCCACGGCTACGCTCAAAGTGCCGATGTCCTCAAAGAGATGATGGAAGAAATTACAGAGCATCTCCCCAGCAACTGGGAATACGAGTACTTTGAGGCAGGAATGGAGCCATCTAAGCTAGTACTACGTAATCCGTCTCCAAACGCTCATTATGTTCCTTCTTCAGACTAGAACTGACCCCCCGATCCATAGCCAACTTGGACCAAGTCCCTTTGCCAAACTCCTGTTGGTGGAATTATCCGTTTTCTGAGGATATACAGAATGCCTTAGACCGTCTTGTCTCTTTTATCGAATCCGAAGGACCCTTTGATGGGCTATGGGGCTTCTCCCAAGGCGCTTCCATGGCCACCCTGCTACTATTAGAACACCAGAAAGTGAGTACCGGTACTCACGACTGGCCTTTCAAAATGGTCATCTACAATTCGACCTTTCTCCCATATCGTCTCGATTCCGGTTCAATCACATGGGACAAGACGGAAAATGGCCAACTACAGGCAACTTATCATCCTGGCGAACTCGACGCCTCGTTTGGCAAGAAAGACATCGACTGGAAGCAGGATGAACGCGCCGTGTATGACTACCAGGTGCTCAAGAGCAAAAGGGTGCAAGACGAGGGCCCCTTTCCAGTCAAGCTCCTACTCAAGTATCGACCCCAAGATGTCCCAGACAAGCTGACCGTGCCGTCCGTCCACGTGCGAGGTGCCAAAGACGAATACTTCTTTGTCAACGACTCAGTCTCTGAGCTTTTTGATCCCGCGACATCCAAGAAGATGACGCATCGTGGCGGCCACCACTTTCCCCGGTTTACAGACGAGCTGGTGAATTTCGCTGAATTGATCGTCGAGACAGCTGCCTCCCTTATCTAGCCTACCGGCTCCTGTTAGATAAACTCAATGCCTTCCTTTATACAACAAACGGTGTCAATTTCGAAGCCAACAACAACAGCATTCTGGCCCACATTGGGACTTACTGTAACCCCTACCGAACTGCCTTTAACAAGGATCCCCGAGCATCATATCAAGTGTTATACCAAACATTCAATTCTAGTATTGATTCGAAGTGTTTAATCAAGTCCTTTAACCTAGGCCCGAGGCAAGAAAGTGCATATGGGAGGTTCTTATTCTTCCCTCCTTTTCTTCCTTTTATTATTCGTTTTCTTTTGTCAATTTACAATATCCTGCAGATTAGGATAGGATTCTAATAGTTCTTACATGTATGAAAGATAAAGTACACTCTAGCAAAAGCTAGATATCGAACAAGATCTAGCAGAGTATTTTCATTAATGGCCGGCAGTGAGATGTTTTTATAAATACATCATGCTTTGACGTAAGAAATAGAGTGGGGCTTAGATATAAGTTGACAGTCTACCCGGCTTGGAATGTTAACCCTCTTTCCATGATGCACGACGATAGAAGACCAAGGAACGGGAGAGAAATCAGACACTCCTAATGCGGTGACGCCTTTCAAAGCATAACTGGTCATCATCTCAATAACTGAGGACTCTTGGGAGAGGATACTTTGCTCAATAAAGTAGCAAAGAATCGCGGGTACTTGGTAGAGCTTGATATAATTAGATTGAAATTACGTTGGGTATTCTCTTTCCTCGGTAACGCTCTGTAGTAGCTGGGTTTATGTGGTTACGAGACTGGTGGCTGTTCTTCCTTGTCATTTCACGGTGTAAATTACACCACATGCATAGACTGAACTACAAAAGGTTGACATGGTTTGTGAATATGATCCTCGGTATTTCCAGAAGCGGGGCAGTTAATGATTCCTGAATACGGGTGTTTCATAGGTAACATAAGACGAATTTGCCACTCTCTTGATCTTATTATCCTCTTCTATTGTATATTATTTCTGGTGATTTGAGCAGTTTCTCTTACCCGATCGTTCGTCACAAGGAGGCCGGACGGTTGCTTTTGTTAGACATTTCTATTCCTAGGAAATGTAACGTAATGTAACAGACGAGATGGTGCCATCTGATCCAATCTTGCAAACATTTATTAGCTCAACTTTAGAAAGTACAGTACCTCACCTTTTGGTATAGGGTGTATTCTATTACTGTATTACTTTGCTTTTTTCAACAATAAAGTACATAAGAATAAAAAAATTAAAGGACTAAACTCTATGCTTTATTGTCAAAGTTGCGAGGGTTATATAATAAATGATTGTCTAAATAGCAAGGGAATTATTGTCGAAGGTGTGAGGGAATTAAATCATCTAGAACCTCGATTTATGGTTGAAAGAAGTGAGGTAATACGGTAGTTGTATTTGCCTGTCTTATTTCGGGAGCATCACCCCACTTTGCGGGGACTCATCGGAAACGGGCTATAATGCCGTAAAAAGTTGCCGCGGGCTTTGATATCGCTGAAACTCCGAATCCAAACTTCCGAAGTCAAGTAGCATAAAGTTATAATTCCGCAGATAACTGCCGCGGGCTTTTATAGTATTAAAGCGCCGAATTCAAGCTTTATAATTTGGTTTATATATAAATTCCAATAGCGATGTATAGAAGTTCGTGATTTAATCTCCGTCAGCATCTTAGACCTCAACACTGGCATTCTTGTTCCTCTTGTCGTTCTCATCATGGCGGCTGCTCCTGAGCCTTCTGTCTCCTCCTCCGACGACACCCAGCGAGTCGAGGACTCCCCTCAAAGCAGATCCGGGATCCTATCTTACTTCTTCAATACGCGCCTCGACGAGGATGTCTGCATCCATGAATACTCCGGCAAGGGTACGGCTGATGACCCTTATGTAATCGATTACCTCCAGAACGACTCCCAGGATCCCTTGAATATGCCCATGGCGCGAAAGTGGACTATCACTGTCCTCCAGGCCATGTCCGCGTTGGTGGTGACCTTTGCTAGTTCTATATACGCCAGCAGCATCTTTGATATCAAAAGACACTTTGGCGTGTCTGAAGAGGTGGCCACACTGGGCTTGGCGCTCTATGTGTTAGGGTTCGCCCTGGGACCGCTGATCTGGGGGCCACTGTCCGAGTTGTACGGGCGTAGGCCCATCTATATAATTTCATTTATGGCCTTCACGGCATTCAGCGTGGCGGCGCCAGTATCCCCTAACATTCAGTCCTTGCTACTTTTTCGCTTCTTTGGGTGCGCGTTCGGTTCATCATCGATGACCAATGGCGGAGGCGTCATTACCGACATGTTGACTAAGGAGCAGCGCGGAGCGGCAATGGGAGCATTTGTCACGGCTCCTTTTCTTGGGCCTGCACTTGGTAGGTGGTAGATGATGCCCTTGCCCTTGTTCCCTACTGCGGTGTTGCCTTCTGTTGAATACCTGCTGATTCTTGGTTTATATATATATATATGTATAGGGCCCATTGTTGGTGGTTTCCTAGACGAAAACAAGGGCTGGCGCTGGGTTCTCGGTTTAATCTCTATCATGGCCGGTGTGGTCTGGATTGCTACCACGATAGCCACTCCTGAAACATATGCGCCATTCATCTTGCGATCTCGAGCGAAGGCCCTCTCCAAGTTGACGGGAAGCGTCTATGTATCCCGGCTTGATGCAGGAGAGCCACCCAAGACACTTACACAGGAGCTTTCAATCGCGCTATCGCGTCCCTGGGTTCTTCTGTTTCGCGAACCCATTATCTTGCTGATGTCGCTGTATATGTCTATCGTCTATGGCACACTGTACATGTTTTTTGCCGCAATTCCCACCGTCTTCCAAGGTACCCGAGGCTGGAGCGAAGGTCTCGCCGGACTTCCGTTTATCGGGGTCACTATTGGTGTCTGTCTTGCTACGGCGTTGTCGGGTGTGGACAATAAACGCTACGTTCGTCTGTGCGAGGCAATGGAAGCAAAGGGGGCCACAATTGAACCAGAAGCCAGACTGAGCACGGCTATGGTTGGCTCTATTGTTCTTCCAATTGGTCTGTTCTTATTTGCGTGGACGACGTATCCTTCGGTGCACTGGATCGCACCGGTTATCGGCGCCTTGCTATTCTCGTGTGGACTTGTCCTAAACTTCATCTCGCAGATCAGCTATCTGATTGACTGCTGTAAGTTTTAACCCTTACTTAGTGATGCCTGGGAATAATGCACATGCTCACCAATGTACAGATACCATATATACTGCTTCTGTGCTGGCGGCTGGATCGATGCTTCGATCCTTCTTCGGCACTGCATTTCCACTGTTCACCACCCAAATGTATGCAAATCTCGGAGATCAATGGGCGAGCTCTATTCCTGCGTTCCTGGCGCTTGGGTGCGTGCCTATCCCGTTTCTGTTCTATAAATACGGGCCGAAGATACGCTCCAAATGTAAGTATGCCTCTGAAGCAGCAAGGATGCTAGAGTTGATGCGTCGTGGGCAGAACGCCACAATTGGAGGCAAGCCAGAGGTGGCTGTAGAGACTGTTTAGGGGGATATAGCCTATTTACTATAGTATTTATATAATAAAAAATTACTAAATATTAAAATAAACCAGCTAAGTAATAAATTAAATTTTAAGAAACTTAAGCTATTTAAAATTTTAAAAAAGATTAAAGAAGTTAACTATAAGTTAAACCTACCTAATAATATAAGATTAAAAACAGTTATTTTTTATATTTTACTACTAGAAAAAGCACTAGTAGATAAAAAAACAGGTAAGTTAATTATAAATAAAATTATTGTTACAACCTGGTCCTCTGTAACTACGAATCCTTTATAGGCAGCTGGTTCTGTTACAGTAACTGCTACAATAGTGGTTATTGGCCTAATCTTTTGCCCTGTTTGGCTTAACGGTATAACGGATTGTTACAATTATTATTTAAGATAAAAAAAAAATATAAAATTAAAAAATTAACTTATATGTAAATAAATAAAAAAATAAGTAAATAAGAATATTTTATAAAATAGAAAAGATATAACTTATCTAAAAATATATAAATCTCTAAAAAAAAACTTAAAAAGAACGCTTAAGCAATCCTGCAGAAATACTATTAGTCTTTAAAAATAAAAATAATAATAGGTTTAAATTAAACGCAGATTAATTAACAGCATTAATAGACTAGAATAGGCCAGCAACAGGCAAATTAAGCTTTATTATAAAAGCCTAATTAACTATCTCCGCCTCCTTCTGCTTAATACAATCTAATTCTTTTAAATTAATAATTCCTTATACTACTGTATATATTATTTTTTAATACTATAGTTTTTTTTATTTATAAAGGCATTTAACTTTTGCACTAGCCTAATAAAGATACTTAAGCTTTTACTAATACTCTTCTTCAGCTGCTTTAATTTCCTTTTTAAGTTTAATATACTAAGCTGCTATTTTATAGAATTAGGCAGTAAAAAGCTACTGTATATTATAAAGAGATTTTTAATTAATAATGCATTAAAAATAATACATTAAATTATTAAAAGAAATTAAGCACTTAAAACCCTTATCTTTATAATAAATATATTTTTTTATTTTAAATAAATAAATAAAAATAAATAAAAATAAATTACTATACTGCTCTTGCTCTTTAAAATATATTTTAAAAATATAATTAATTATAATAAATACTAAAGGATAAATAAAAAAAAAAAACTTATAGAAAAAAGGATTTTAAAGGAAGAGTAATTTATATATATTAAATAACTAGGTCTTGGGGATAAAACTAATAAAAGAGAAGTATTATATTATAACCTAACCCTTATAGTTACAATAATAGGCCTATAAAGTAGGATCCTCTAGATTAATTATAAACTAAAGGACTAATAAAAGTTAGCTTAATAAGCTTGACTTATAAGCCACACAAGCTTATAACACTAAGTAGTTTAACTAGCTTAACTTATAAGCTAATTAAGCCACTAAAATCTAAAAAACTAACTAAATATATAAGTTTACTTCTTATGCTCTTTTAAATAACTTAAATAGCCAGTTATTAATATAGTTTTATATCTATAGATTAAAAAACACTTTTAATCTCTACTAATAACTATTATTATAATATTATTACCCATAGGTTTCCTAACCTATCCGCCAATATAAACCCAAAGAACTTATTCTAGGTTTATCCCTTGGGAATCTACCCTATACTAACTATCTAGTGTACGGTTCGTCACACTCAGCTCCTTGCACTATTATTTTCTCTATTAAGCATTAACTAGAGTACCTAGCACTATTGTTTCCTTTATCCAGCGCTTGGTTGAAATCCTCTATCAAGGAGGGCCGAATAGCCCTTGCAGCCAATGGACACAAAGCCTAGAGGTAAAAGAATAGCTCAGGGTAAGGGCCAGGGCTAACCCCTGCTATAGCGTATTACAGCATCTTCGCAACACGGCCACGGGCTTGAGATATTGTCAGCAGGGTGAATTTGAGGCCGGCTATCGCTAGATATATACTTGGCCACCAGGCCGTTGTGGAGCGAAGTTCATTATTTTTATTGCCTTGTATGAATTTGCTAACTAAATACGTTTTCTTAGGATTTTAGCTGCTGTAATATACAGAGTACTCCGAAGTAAATTATACCCTTTTACAACAAGCTATATACCTGAAGGATAATAAATGTAAGTTTAGGAAAAATCCTACAAAAACTACTCCGCCTTGTTATTTGGTCTACCCCTATATTCTAATACTTTAATCCATAAATAAAATATTGTCAAAATAATATAAAACCTAATAATATAAAAAACCAATTGTTATAGTTAATAATATATTGCGGCTAGCAAGGTATTAACAAGGCTACTGTAGCTAAAAAATTCTTTAATACAGCTTCTTAAACTACTCTAATAACTAGATAAATCTAGGTAAAAGAAAGTATATAATATTATACTTTTATTTGACTTTATTTATTATAATACGTTTTCAATAAAATTAAAATCCAGGCTGTAGCATACCTAGTTAATAACCTCTATTCTATAATAATACAGCTCAGAGTTTATTAAAGGGCCTTATAACTGTTTCCTTTATTATCTATATCCCGAAAAAGAAAGCTACTCCTGGACTTCCACGAGGAGGGAAGGCAGCTTTGCTGTAACTTTAGCCTCCGCGGCATTAGGTTATTTTATATTCCGTGCAAGAATTGCCGAGTGGTATGTTCCGGTTTCACCCTATTCTACATTGGGTAGAGTTAGTGTGTATAGGCAAGGTTAGGATGATACGTTTTTTTTATTGGGGCTAACCGGTCTTGCCCTAGATCGCAGCCCCCTGCTGTCCAGACGCTTCCTCAAGCCTTAGGCCAAAACTTTAACCTATAATGCAGCTAATGCGGCCAAGAGTTACAGCGCTCTCATTGGCCTGCTGCGGGTAACTCTGTAAGTTACTGTTAAGTGATACAACAAGGATGGGGGACTGCATGAATAAGCCGAAAGCAAGGGAATATAGCGTAAAGCAGTAAACTGCTGGTGACTGGACCTAGTTTTGTCAAATGCGCTTGCTAATAAAGGGAAGATAGTGCTAATAAGCGTAAATAGCTAGCGGGGAGAGCATAGGGAGCAGATACAGTAGAGTGACGACAACACTAACCATCCGAATGGCTTTGCACTCGCAAGACACTCTAGTCAAGCTGAGTAAGCATGGGCAGGGTAAAGAATGAGATAGAGGGATCATCTATACCAGCCAGAAAGTAAATAATGGAAGAGGACTAGATCTTTTCATTATTAAGGGCATTCATCCTTTTGGCCCCTATAAAGTTAACCCTCTCCACTCTACAGTTGCGGCATAGGCGGGTGAGAAGTATAGCTAAATTATCTTTATTAAGGTATATTATATTTTGCAAGAATGCTGGGATAATTAAATATACTACGATTCCAAAAGCAACGGCAGGGAGGCTTTCGATGACGAAAGCCTAGCAATAAATCTCATAGCCAACATTCGAACTAGTTGCTAGATAACATATGCGAGAAGCTACGCTTGTGACTGTTCGCACAACACTACAACACACATAGATCGACAAAGTAGGACTAGAGGTAGGACAGGATCTAGAGCATTACGAAGCATCCCTCCATTACTGCTGCTGCTGTTATTGGTACCGCTGCTATAATCGCCTTCTCACTCCGACACAGAAGTCAGTGACGAAGGGTCAGAAGAGGGTTTTGAGATTGGGTGATTAGAAGCAGTTAAAAATGAGCTTCGATATCTGTATGCAATGTTTTTGCAATTTTTGAGATGACAGGTTTGCAATCGAAGAGGCAATCTTAGTTGAATAAATAATTGAGGTCACTGAATCATGGAGATTCCAACACTGAGTTGCCGCATACTCCTTGGTTGAGTCTGTCTCGGAAACTTGATTGTCCCAGTGTTCGGGAGTAACTCGCCATATGCTCTGTAGACAACCAAATATAGTCGACCTCCTCTTGAGTGAGTTGTGTTACGTAAATTAGAATCAGTAGTGGCATTTGGAGAATATAAAAGTAACGTTTTGAGGGTGTAGAAGTTCAGCAGCTACTGCTAGAGATTTTAATAAAAGATTATGTTTATAAGACCATGTAATACCGCTCCTTTATGTTTGCAGACTAGGAATACCAAATTAATTGCTTTTTTACTTGAGGCAAGCGATGAAATGAATGTCGGATATCGACCGTAAGCGTGTCTTGTAGAAAGAAGATCCTTTATGGAGCATTGCTCAGGAATTAAGTTACAATGGTCACAAGAGTAGTATTCCACTCACGATTAATGGAATACAACCTCGATTTGGTACTCCAAAAGAACCATGGAAATCATGATTTAAGTTGGAGATACCATTTCATTTTCCATCTGCACATGTGACGGCAAGGCTCAAAGAGATCTCGCTAATCTAATGAGGAACAGTTGGTCTCTGCTTTCTGACGAGAAACTCTTGAATAGCACTGCTTCGACATGCAATAAAGGTGGTAAAGATACTTCCGCGATAGGTTTAAGATAATCTTGGAACGAGAATTTGACTAGCTTACCCGCAATTAAAAGATATGCCATAGTGAAAGACTGGTCTAAACGTACGTGTGATACTATTCGTCGGTTTTTTGCAAACAGACTAAACGATATATCCGTTGTCAAACCCGAAAAAGACAATTAAGAACACTTCTGTTGCTCTTGTATTCCGCAGAGGAGTGGATTCTTTGGGAGCCAGTTATCTTCTGATATCTAGCAGCGGGGAAAATTGTAACTTCATCATTCTAGCGCAACATGCTTTCGCTACCCTTGTTCACGATTTTGGCACAGTTGAAGCGCAGAGACAACTGAAACAAGGCAATTGGCAACCAAACTCACCAAAGCTTATTGCATATCCAGAAAGAGTACCAATAAAGTATTGGAAACGGCATTCATAACTCCCATTGCCAATACAGACAGAAGCAGAGAGGCTACTTTTCGAGAGCTTTCAAGTAGAAAAAAGTGAGGAGCATTAAAGAAATGAGGTATTAGCAATTCTACTATTCATCATAAACCATTGGTAACATACACCCTCTACCTCTTGGGCTACGCATGCCTGTTAGTTATTAAGTTGTATACAATAACTGTGAGAGAAATGAAAGAGATAACCAATGAGTTCAGGATCAGCTTTTGACTATTCTATTACCATGAAGTTTGTTGCCTTTACAGTTCCCTCTGTTGTGCTAGGTTACTGCAATTGGGGCAACAAATGTGTTCTTCGACTGAGTGGTGTGAATGCTTTGAAGATTAAGAAGATTAGTGAGGTATAGACTGGAGGTAAGCTAGATGGTTAGATAAGAAATCTCCCGCGAGCCTCCAAGGATTATTAAATATTTACATTTCTTTCACACAGACATTATGTATGTAGGACAAGTTATATTTTGGAATCGATTAATCGGCCAGGAACTTCACTGTTAGAAGTTACAAAGCTCAGCGTTTATTAGAGGAAGAGTTGCGAGTTTCGAAATCGATTGAGAAGCCGGAATCTCACCACTATATCCACGACGCGCTAGTTACACAAAACAAACTCATTGATATAGCAAAGTTCAAAAATTAACATTGTTCACATAGCTATTTTCATAAAACCGAGATGTATTTAGTTTAAGCAGGCAGATTCAAATGTAAACAGAGGATTCACGCGCTTTGTGCATATATCTAAGCTTGGTAGGGGTTATGGTAAAGGGTTTTTAAATCAACTCAATAACAAGCTTGTTAATATAAATGTCAATGAGCGGAAACACTTAAGAAATATAATTCCCCAGTATTTGTACACTTAAAAACAGTTAACTATTTACCTTAGATGATATTTTAATTGCTTTCATGAGGAATATAGTTGCCTTACATGCGAAATCGGTTATCCTACTAGTATACTAATATTCGGAAAAGCAATACGCGTTCAGAGCCTGAGTATATGGTTTGGTTTCTTTTGCTCAGACTATGCATAACATCTTTAAGGATAGCTAAGTGCAGTAGCATAATTCTTTACAATTGATTATCTTCTCTCTGACTTTCTAGTTTCTTATAATACGCAATTTCCACCCCAAACATGTGAACTAGATCATTTACAAAATGGATGGTGAATAAATTTCAAGGAGCTTTTTGAGCTCAATAAGTAGATGTGCCTTTGAATTTTCATTGAGTAGAATCTCTGACAGAGAACATAGCCAGGCCGCTACATGAAGATGACCAACAGTATAGGAGTTACTTGAGCGCATTGCGTATACTCTAGATAGGCATTCTAAACGCAACATCCTGACCTAGTCTGTCGCCAAAGAGCTTAAACCTTTAAACATGTATTGATATATATAGATTCTTTTCAACGGCTGTATCCTAAACTATATAGATTAAAGGTTACAACAAGACCAGTTATACCCATTTAAGGGTAAAGCAGGTAAAGCAGCCAGACTAGTAAATATATTTAAAACAGGCTTATGTTTTTTCAGTAATTATAAAAGTAGCCAATATACTCGAAAACTAATCGAAATAAACAAGATAGTGATAGGGACTTGAAGAAGAATAGACTTAAGCTAAGCCACTGAACCCAATACTTCTAGCGATCCAGATTATATATTATTGTAAATTTTCCAATTTCGTGGGCATGTTCAAAGCCATTTGCGCATCTTTGAGGATGTCCATGCGTAATATAGTCGAAACTTGAAGTTCATTCAGGAGCTTACTCAACGGACCCTCCCCTCGTGTGAGGCCGACGTTCCTGGGTAATAAACACTGCGCCGCTAGGAGTGGATTCATCTGCACAGTCACCTGGTGCCATTTTCCATCGATTTTATTAATCGCATTATTAATACCGATGGAAGATTGCGATGGTATGGTTTTCAGTGTCGGAAGGGGTACTTCGAGTGTCAAATCCATGCTTCCACCCGTCCCACTGATTCCTGCCTTGATTTGGTGGTCATCCATCTCGAAGTTGATTTTCGTAAGCCATTTGGGGAGTTGATACAGGGTCACACCTCGAACTCGAGCAATCTCGGTATCGACTGGTAGAGCCAACACGTATCCATAAAAGGTTCGATTCCATATAGAAGTGAGCAATTGCGTCATGCTATAACTGTTTCGGCCCGGCTGACGAACGATGATGGCAAGAGACACCTCATTGTAAGGGTCATTATCGCAGACAAGATATGAGTAGAATGTTAACGCAACCAGGCCATAACCTGGAAACGGTGAAATGGGTTCTAAGGGCGATGGAAGCTTGGATTTTAAGGGCCCGAGGGGCGCCAGAAAGACGAGTTGGATGCTCCTTGTCCGATAATAGAAGTTTGGGGCGAACGTCTCACCAACTCTTGAATTAACCAGCCTCTTTGGGATCTTTCGGAAGAATTCAATGTCAGGTCCGACAGAAGGATCGCGCGCCACCTCATCCAAAATTGGATTCATACGGTAACGATCATAGTAGCCACCTTTTGGTACATCTATCTTGTGACCCCCGAACTCAATTTGGATTGTTGAAGACATCGTAGTTACAGTAACTCTAGAAAGGTAGATTAGTAGTGACATCTTCTTTAGAAGCAGATAGATACATACACAACTGAAAGCGACAGGGTTTGATATCAGGATTGTTGTCAACGTTGCCTGGGGCGCTTGGAAGAACGGCGTCGGTACTCCCAAGGGGACGGAAGTAAAGACGTCGTTTAGTACAGCTCGTATCCAAATGTAATGAATAGTTATAGAAAGATTGCAGATACATGAGATACATCTGAAATAAATATCTGCCAATTAGCCATGCCTCCATAGATGGGAAAACAAAGAATCGGCGTAATGAACAATCCGAACATCCGTTTCCGTCGGCCTCATGTCTTTAATAGTTGCAACCTATGCCGGCGGATTTTTAGCGAGAAAATAGAATGGCACTAGCGGAGTAGGGCAAGAAGTAGATATCGAGGCTTAGCTGTATTATCTACTTTTGTAGTCCCTAGCCGTAAGCATATGACTGCTAGGTATAAAGAAAAATGTCTGTTTAATGTATATAATATTTACTTTCAACCTGCAGCACTGGATGCAGGAGTAGGAATCACAGGCTATGGGGTTCACCTTTCAATTTGACAATATACACTGCTTGTAGATGTTTAATATGGTGGCTTCAGCTCGCTAGTCTTGGTAATGGTAGCGGAAATTGGGATTTCCTATTAGCGGAGACGGAAGCTAAACTCTTTTTTGGTATATAAAGCTTCGAGTTCGCTTGGAAAATAATAGTACAGCGGCAATTAATGCCTATCGAGAGGAACTGATAAATTTTGACGTGCTAAAAAAAAAGTAGAGCAGTAAATTTTGAGTCCTAGTTTTAGTATTCCGGGGTGCTATTCTCGGTCGCGAACGCTAAGAAGATATGTTACTGTGCCTCTATTAGCATTGTTCAATAGCGTTTTGCAGTCTGGGTAAACCCAATCCTCGGCCTTAAGGCATCTCTTAGGGGCAATAATAGAGGTGGTGATTTAGGGAGCTCCCTGACATAAAATTGCCATCGGTGGCCTTTCTCAATGGTACCACAACCCTGTGGGTCAAGAGTTTGGAAGATACCCAGGTTGTAAGTTCTGATTGAAGTCATCGTATTTGGTTTTATAATTTATAACTTTCTATATCTTGAAACCGTCAAATTGATTGGTGAGATGAAGGATAATTTAACCTTTATTGTAAATAACCCTGATTTTATCAAGTGAATTGCAGTCCTGGAACTGCTGTGGCGCTATTTACAAGTATGCCCAAGGGGATACATAGTCTTTAAATGTTACTACCTGTAACTTATATAACCCTCCAGTCAACAATTATCCTATTGTGCAGTATTCATTAAGAGTTATTCAGGAGCCGCTGGCTGACCTCCTCTGGGCTGTTTTAGTTTATATGCCACGGCGAGTAGTTCGTTAAGAATCCTTCACATCAGACCTTAGGGGTCGGGTAGCAAATGTGACAACGATCTATACTCTCGAATTAAAGAAGATGTCAAATGTAGTACCAATGCGCTCCTGTGAGATTATTTGACATAATCTTGATGTTTCGAGAGTTGCAAAGCTCTCTTTCAACTCTTTCAGCTACTCAAAAGTTTTTGACCCATCCTTGACAAGGTCGGGCCGGAACTTATGGTAGACACCTGTGAGACTTCTTTCAATAGTTGCAAAGTGAATGTCCCCAAGGTTTCAAGCCGCGATTTGGCATGCATAACGACGGTTTTCTCTGTGAAAAGCATCTTGTTCATATGAGGTTCAGCATCTGACGACGGCGGAAAATCATCCGTCAACCTGCTTGGACAAGGCGTGAGAAATAATTTGACGGTAAACAAATCAACTGCTGGCATGTCACTAAATCAGGTTGCTATTACGCTGCCATTTTTGATAAGACATGGACTGGTAAGGCAATCGTGCATGATGCGGAGTCCGCGGATGAAGTGCTGTGTGGCCGAACTAAAACCGTTCAAGGCTAACTCGATGCGCATAAATATTTGGCAGCAACGGAAATGCAGACTTGGTAGAATAGCTCTAGTAATTATTATCCAGGATTTTCGTGGAAAGGGTTATAATGGCAAGTACCTACCTCTTTATACCGTGTTGTAATTTCGATGGCGGGGGGAGGTGGCCGTACTGCTCGCCAAAATCCCTACGTAGTGCATTTGGAGATGCCAAAGCATGATGCGTAGAAGGCTTAGAGGTGGCGAAGAAAGTAGCTTGAGCTTCGAGCTCGTAACTTTTGTGCATCATAGTTGGCACCCATGGCAGGAACCGGCTTGATTGTAAAGTGCCTGGCAAGATACTCTACGTACTTAGGATTAGGGAATATTACTAGAGGGTTCTTGGACTAGTTAGCCGGTATTGACGGCCTCTTCACGGAAGCTGTAGATCCAATGCCGATGTTGATTCAAAAATTGGACGCATTATTACAAGCCCTGCCTGAGGGGACGCACCACATGCATATGGGTTTCCATTCATCGCACTTGACTTACCGGATTCTTGATAACCTGAACATTAGCTCCGCAAGTCAATGACACCGATAGTAAACTACTTTTGATGTCAAATATTTTCCTGCACATAATGCAGCCCACTCTGGATTTCCTTGTAGACGCAGGCATGTCCGCCTGGAGACGCTCTAGACGGCGTTTCAGTAAGCAATAAATGCGATAAAAATACAAGGCACAGCAAATGTAAATGCCTTACATAGAGTAAGTGTTTATGAGAGGTACATGTATTTCTTAGCTCCCCCTTCTTTATTAACCCCAAGCACTTATCAAAGCGTATTTCTATCAGCGTGGGGTGTACTCTATAACGCTTGAATTTTCGGGGCCAGAGAACAACTATTTTCCCCGAATTCCGTCCAGTAACTTAATTATTTTAGCGCATAGAAATTAATACAGCCTAACCATATACAGCAAAACGCCCAAGCCAACCATTAAACTTCAAGTATTTGGAATTTTACTAGAATATATGGGCCTAACGCTTGAATTTTCAGGGCCGGAGAATAACTAGTTTCCCCGAACTCCGTCCAGTAACTTAATTGTTTTAGCGCGTAGGAATTAATATAGCTTAACCATATATAGCAAAATGCCTAAGCCAACCATTGAACTTCAAGTATTTGGAATTTTACTAGAATACATAGGCCTAATATAACAATTCCACCGAACTATAGTCAAAAAAATAAATAAATTCACCTATGTCTTATATTTTATAAGTTCATCAAACATCAGAGAATGTTGTATCAAATGTGGTCCATTCATATTTCTCCAAATGAATAGCTATGCAATGCAACCAAAAAAGGGGGATTTACAACTATTTTTGTAGTTTTAAAACGTTTTTAGGGGTGGTCATTATGGCTTTTATTTTACAACTGGCTCAGCCGTTGTGTAGCCTAATGAGGAAGTGGTTTGGATTTATCGCAGGTATGCTATGTTAAGAACCCAACTCATGTCACCTATGGTCGTCTTTTTTACAAATGGCAAGTACGAGTTTGGGATACTGAGACCCAAATTATATAAATCAGGCGCTTGAAAATATTAATCTTCGACTAATCTGACTCTGAAGTGAACATAAACCAGGGGCACATGGTATTTCCCAATCGGGGTCAGATCCAATTGCATATTCCTTGTCTTGCTATCCCACGATGTTAGCGGCATTCCCACTATCCTCGTACGAGCAATAAACTGCCGCCTAGTGATTAAATCCAATCTCCCAGTGCATAAGTAGAGACATGCAAATAATAGTTTCATTTTGGGTGAACTTACAGGAAATAAGCCTCGGGCCAGTTCTGCGTTCCTCTCCCTCCCCGTTTTAGCAGCGGCAGCAAGTCCGAATGTCATCAGCAAAGTTAGCGCCCGCACTGTAGCCTATGAACACGAATTCTGGGGCGGGGTCAATCTTAACCTGCTCGTCCTTGTGAATCAGTGTTAAAATTCTGGAGATCAGATATGGATGATACCACCTCTAAAGCGCTCTGAACAAGCGATAAGAGAGCGTATTCCGGTGCAAGCTTGTAAGAAGGCGAAACTACAATAGTGCCAGAGTAAGAGGCAAATGCACGAGGCGGTGATGTTGAAAAAAGAGGGCCGCCGAATGCGAAACTGCTCCCGTGCAGATAAAGCTTGAAGAGGGGTTTTATTCCCTTCGCTGGTGATATATAGTCATTTTTTTTTTCTTCTATCCTCGATATTTAAATACTTACTTAGGAAGACAGATATTAATATCCATCCTAAAGTAATATATTTCGATGCAAACACCTAAAATAACAGTTGGCAATAGGCTTCGCCTGTATTGTTATTACTCTTCATCGGTATAATATAGTAAATAAGATTTAATAAGGAACCACAAGAATCTGAAAGTCTTTATGAGCCTACTATTTAACCCAATAATTTAGCAAGGTCCATATTGTATATTTAGAAAGCTATACGTAAATTTCTGTTGGATATGATTTCGGCTGTGCCTCGTTCAGTCTCCAAAGTATAAGCAACCGTCCTCTCTCTGGCTAGAAATAAGCACCCAGCTTGAGTATATAGAGCAGCAATATATTAGTTACAGATCCTATGCTTGGTGGGCTTAAGAGATTATAAGAATTCTATTTTCACAGGCGTTTAATAAGGCCGATATAATTTGCTTTCATGTATAATACTTCATCGTATTCAAAGGCTATATGTAAAGTCTGTGTGATCCACGTAACCCGCCCAGACTAGCAATGCCTTCCTGAAGATAGTCATATCGGAACCGCTCTTTATAATACAAATCTGTCACAAGAACATGTTGTAACCCATGGCATTTAGTATTAGTTTGTTGTCTGCTTATATGTCTAGGATGACTCGCAAAAGTGCATTATGCGAATTGGAAATGAAAATGTTGCTCATGGATATCTCGCAGTATGAGTCACACGGCAGCAAACCAGGGCCGAAATGTTCTCTTGGCTTTAGGCTATTTGTTTTCTTAGTCATCCTGCTATTCCTTCTTACCAAAAGCCTTAAAATCCTTCTAGTGTCGGCACCATTATTTCTCGTTTATTCTAGTTTATCAATCCAGGCAATGTGTTTAATTGGTTTGCTTTCTACGAATAACAATGGATATTATCACAGTCTCTGAGCCTCAAGTAACAGTTGCTGTGTCTTCGGCAGAACCTTTCGCTATGGAAGTTCCTTTCAGCGACCGCCCCGTTGAACCGCTCAATCTTATAGACCGCCCAAAGGTTCGCACAACATTGCGGTTATACGCCATCTTATCAGCGCTATATGTAATAACTTGGTCTACGCGGGATCATTGGAGAAGACCATCTAACTAACAGCACATTGTAGCTCAGCCTCTTCATCGCTGCCCTCGATCAAACAATTATCGCCATATCTATTCCCACGATATGCGCCGATCTGCGCTCCGCGTCGGGCTACGTATGGGTTGGTGGCGCTTATCTTGTAGCGAATGCAGCTGCAGGCCCAATCTGGGCAAAATGTAGCGATATCTGGGGTCGCAAGCCCATGCTCCTTATAGCTGTCGGTATTTTTGCTGCTGCCAGCATAGTAGCAGCGTTAAGCGTCAACATGCCAATGCTGATTGCTGCAAGAGCACTGCAGGGCACAGCTGGCGGTGGCCTAATGCAACTGGTGACCATCACAATCTCAGATCTCTTCAGTGTGCGAAAGCGATCACTATATTTGGGATATGCGGGGTTCGTGTGGGCTCTGGCTGGATCCGCTGGGCCGCTAATTGGAGGGGCTTTTACGCAGTTCAAGACCTGGCGGTGGTGTTTCTGGATAAACCTTCCGATCTCTGCGATTGCATTCGTGCTGTTGCTTCTGTTGGATGTCCACAACCCGCGCACAAAACTGGGCGAAGGCATGAGAGTCATTGACTGGTTAGGGACATTCTCCATCCTGGCAATAACTCTTTTACTTCTTATTGGGCTGGATTTCGGCGGCGCTATATTCCCCTGGAGCAGCCCAAAAGTTATTTGTTTGGTTGTATTCGGAATCCTGATGATCGGTTTCTTCGTGTTTAGCGAACAACGTTTGGCTAAATATCCCCTAATGCCTCTGGCCATGTTTAGAAACTGGTCAAATAATGCTATTTTCCTTGTTGTGTTTTCACATGGCATGGTACTCGTTGGCATCGAATATTACATGCCACTATACTTCCAAGGAGTGCGGCAAACCTCGCCTTTCGGGGCTGGTGTTTTACTATTACCGCTGATAGTAACACAAGCTGTCATAGAAACAATCTCTGGCGTTTTGATCGATCGCACAGGACGCTACAGGGAGATCACATGGGCCGGTATGACACTTATGACGATAGGGACAGGGCTGTACATTACTCTTGGGTCCGGCACACCGGTAGCCAAAGTGGTCGGGTTGCAAATCTTTGGCGGTCTGGGACCTGCCCTTCTCTTCCAAGGGCCCATAATTGCGATTCAGAGCACTGTTAGCCAGGCCGATACTGCGGCAGCCACAGCGTCCCTGGGCTTCATCCGCAATCTTGCCATGGCACTATCCATTGTGGTGGGTGGTGTGGTATTCCAAAACAGTATGGATAGCCGCCAATCATCCCTTGCTGCTGCTGGCCTCAGCCAATCTCTTATGGAAGCTCTATCTGGTAGTATGGCAGCCGCAAATGTGGGCATTACGCGCACAATTCAGGACCCTTCGCAGCGTCAGGTTGTCCTCGAAGCTTTCGCTTTCAGTGTGAGGAATTTATTTATATTGTATGCATGCGTAGCAGCCATTGGGTTGATGTCTAGCGTATTCATAAAGCACCGAGTTCTTAAGACTGAACATACGGAGACAAAGACAGGTATAAATTAATGGTTAAAATATGAGCGCGGGAACGTTTCTAAGTTCTATTGAAAATATACTATAATATTTCAATACAAGCTATTTTTGGATAGCATTACCAAGCGAGTGCTCAATTGACAAGCTGGTAATCTTGACTGACTGCACCTATGTCATCTTTAGTATAGAGAGCAAGGAAATGGGTCTGGTCGAGAGTATAGAGCCCAGGCCAGTGAGAACCGGCATTACCCGTGACAGTAGTAGGGCCCCATGTATGACCTCCGTCTGTACTAGTAACAACTTTCATTTGCGCTCCGTCAATGCCATTGCCACCGGTGCCGGCCACGTCCTCATTTGTCATAAAGCTTGTAACAAGAGTGCCACCGACATTAATAACTTGAGGAGCTCCTGCATTGGCCCCGTTTCGCGCGGTATATAGGCGCGCCCGCTCTCCCCAAGAGTTGCCGTCATCATGGGACAGAACATAATCAATGGAAAAGGGCCCGGACTCCGTATTCTCAAAAACGGCACTAATTTTGAGCAGTATCATTAGTTATTGGTTACACTGGTATTCAAAAGCCGTGGTAAAATACTTACATCAAGTTGCCAGAATTGTCGATATTTGCGACACCAATCATTCCATCGCGTGACGTGCGGTCACCTCCAGAAATCTTGATCCAGTTCGACCAAGTTAACCCTCCATCAGTCGAACGCTTCATATAACCGTCCTGATCTGCCCCATTATTCTCGGCGGAATAGTAACATTGCAGCGACCCGTCTGCAGCGACACGGAGAAAGGGTTCCCAGAGTCCGTTAGGGGTACCTGGAGTGGCTGCCTGCTGCTCCACGGTTGATAGATAAAGAAAGCTAGCACCGCCGTCATCGGAATATGATAGGGTTATTCGGTAATATGTGTAAGTATTTCCTGTGCGATCATGGTTGCGGTAGGCGTATACAATACGCCCGCTAGGAAGTTGCAAAGGCATAGCATTATCAACATCATGAGCAGATGAATCAGCACGGTAAACTTCGCCGACAAAATGCCATGAAGAACCGCCATTGTTAGATCCAGCCAGTCGAAGAATACTCTGGCCGTTTTCATGAGCAGTATAACCAGCGATCAAACCTCCGTTGTTCAGAGGGTTAGTTCGAATATATACTCCGTTTGTATCAATAACAACAGGCGAACCAGCCTGAACTACGTTTCCAGGTGACCTTTGCTCAATACTGACAGGGTTCCCAAGAACCCCGACAGGAATGAGCAGAGTTGAAAGTAGTTTATGGAAAAACATGGCTGCTTCGTATATAAATGGCAGAGCAGTGATATAACTATCAATTTGAAAAGGGATGCAGCTATTATTTATAGTCCATGAAGGCAAATATATACTGAAAAAAAGGGAATTACTAGTTTATTGGATGCCTCAATGATGTAAACCTGCGGCCTGTTTCCACCAGGCTCTAGCTTCCTTTCCTAGCATAGCCTAGCAACTATCCCCGCTAAAGGATGCTAAAGGATGCTCCTTTAACTACTCCGGGTGTACTTTATAGGAAATTCCGAAACTTTTTTAACTGGCTCTTTCATAAGAAGCATATTGTCCTAATGAACCTCGGTCGTTATTGTTTCTAACGTAAAGCGGTGTTACAGTTCTCGGACCGAATATTGCATCTTGGCGTTCCAGCTCAAGGTTCCCAAAATAAAAGAGGACGGATGTTATATCCTGGATGTTCTTCGCGAACTCTTGCCTCTGGCAACTGTTAATAAATTTTATGCTAGCTTGATTGGCCCTGTTATCGGGGGATATGTTCCCTTTTCACTTTGAAGGTCCCTATCCAGACCGTGCTATCTAGAATGCGTCTTTACGCTTAAGCATCAGCGGCTGAACCCAATCAAGCAGCATCTAGAATTACTAGTAGCCCCTTACATCGGAACGGATTGGAGTAGACTAACTCCAGCGCGCAAAAAAGGCTTCAAACAGTAGGTGGAGTGCAAAACTATGCTGAGGACTGATGACTACATTATTTACATGTCTGAGAATTTTTGTCCACACTTGTATGGCGGTTGGGATGCATTTTCCGAATATCGCATGATCTAGGCGTCAGTATTCCCTTGGCCCCAAATCAACAGTAGTTGTGGTCTGGTGTTGTGATACGAAGTAGACACAATCTGAAATGCTTTGTTTTACGGAGTACATGTTTTCGTATAGAAGTGTGACCCGCTTCATGGATGAGTGTATACGTACCTGCTTGGTGGGAAAGCGTATATGCACGCCTCTCTAGCGTTGGGACTGGTTGATGCGGCCCAATCCGGCGCAGACATGCTGTTTAAAGCTGACTTTGGCGTTGTTCTAGCTATCCTGCGGAGGATTACCTGTTAGCAGAAAAGGGGTGCCGACAGTACAAAACACAAAACCAAGATGCCGAAGTGGCTACTTCGCCTTTACTGGACGTTGTTTTGGACAGTGCCTGCAATGTGACCCTTGCAGTAAACATCGGCAGTTCTGAAGATCTGCAGGTGGGCCTTCGGGTTTACTGGACCAGCTGGCAGCGGGACCCATCTCGGATAGCGACAAACCGCGACGGATCTAGGGTTATTTTGGGTGCAACAGTCTAGTAGCAAGAGTGTTTTTTATATGCTGGGTATATGCCCAGCTGGACAATTACATGCATGCCTCCAAGGACACAATGGGTGGCACACACTCGCCCCATTCTTGTCTAGCTTGGGTTCGCCTCAGACAGCAAACTTGTCCTTCGCTAATATCCAAATGAGAGATTACATGCCGGTCAATGTTTGGCCTTGTTATGTTTGTACTTAGCATAGTTAAGCATTGTATTATGCCTATTACATTTGAGAGCATTTCCTACATTCTGAAGTCTATATTTTACGCATAAGGTAAAAATTGCTAGCATTAGTGTATTACAAAAAAACAGCAAAGCGTGTAGTGCAAGAGGCGGCATTCAATGTTTTCGCTGGTGAAGCTAATTTCTCACTTTACAGAGGCAACAATGCTTTTAGCGCGAACTTCGTACCCAAATTTAATTCTAATTTTAGGTTTAATTTGCCAATGGACAAGGGTTATATGATGGTCTGCGCCAGTTAATAACAAAAACATTATTGAAGACGTATTTCTACTTTCCATAGCACAAACAATCGTATAATGCAAAGCTGTCTCTCTGTCATAGCCTGATTGATCAAATTTGGAATCTTGTCAATTGCTTCCGCTGGCGACTTTTCCCAATCAAGGACTACAAGACAATACGACCGAAATTGCCAAGCGCTTTTAGATCAGCGTCCCGAAAAAGTAATCCTTGGACGCCACGCACGTGCTTAAACTCTTGAACATCGATCTTGGATAAACCTATGGACCCTTGGTATTGCAGTAATAGAGGTCTAGCCTTGTTTAATAAAGAAGACTATTTACTAGTATAAAATAGAGTAAATGATAAAATAGTTAAAGACATAGCAGTAAATTGAAAGTAAATTATATAGACAGAAGGTATAATAAACTACACTAATATAAAGTAAATTTTTTAAAAAAAATAAACCGATTTTTTCGTTCTGATTTATATTCGTAAATATATTAGGAAAAGAATAAATAAAAGTATTATAATATGTGGTACTAATAAATAAAAGTTAAATGCCACTGATGATATATTGTTTCAATACATGATCTACAGGATTCAATCTAGGTGCTATACTTACACTCTAAGCCTCTTCTTGCCGAGGCTTTTTTACACATGTTTGGCGGGATGGGTTATTGGATTGCTACCTGATTCACGAACGGCTGAGTTAATATATCAGAAATAATTGGAAGCGTAAATATGTCAGCCAGGTAATTCTATCTTCGTTCGCTAGCCTATTATACACCGTTTATTTATTGCGAACTGTTAGTGAGGCTTCACGATGAACTCCTTGTCACTTGACTGGCATCTGAACTTAAGAGAAGATCAATTTTCTTGTCGAACGTGGATGAGATTTCGCATGCGCGTTGGTGTTGCTTCGACTTTGTTCCATTGCTTTTAAAGTCCTCGGGCATTCTGCTATCAAAAAGCTCCAGCTGTCGTGAAGCATTTGTTCCCAGCATAATAAAAGCGGCAGATTCTGGTGTATCTTCAACGAACATAGCCATTGCTAGAAATGCTTGAATTGAAAGCAAGCTGGGCTCTTGTAAAATGAGTCTATGTATCATAGCCGTGGCATTGTGATAAAAGGCAAGTGGAATAGAGCATAAGTCATCTTCGGAACCTGGGGCAGCCTTGAATCGCAATGCAAGGGCAGTCACAGCATTGACGATGGCCCATCTGGCGAAATTTTCTGCTGGGCCGGTAGAGCTGGCGGTATATTGGTCGCTGAGAAGAGTGGTGAAGTCTGCAAAATCCAGGAGCTGCCTACCCTCCATGATTTCCGCAAAAGAGCTTTGTAGTAGGCGTGTCGCAATGTGTCGGGGGAGAAGTGGAGTGAGCTCACTCGCTAGATTAGCCTGCGCAATACTGCTTCTTATTTTCTCGAGGTGCTTATTGAACTGGTCTGCGGCCAGAAAGTCCGGCAATGTTGGGATCAGACCCCTGATTTGTACTTGCCTCCGAGATGGGTCGGTTGTAAACGTAGGCGTGGAGGAAATGCAACTAGGTACATGGTGAGTAACCTGACCGCCCTGAGCCCTTGACCCTACATCATCACTAAACTGCTGGATTGAAAAAGTGCTGTTGTCGTCTAATTTTGCGCGATTTATTTTCTCCGGTCGATGCTCAAACTCTTTCGAGTTGTTAGAATTCTTCTTCCTAATAATAATGGATTAACGTATGTCACATCGAACCTGTAGACTCTGAGGCGTTTTGGTGCCTCACTTTTTACCTGGCCCCCGTGTTCTGCGGACTGTTGCATAGTTGCATTCTGCGTTACTAGCCATGCAGTTACTGCATCTTGGTGTTTTGCTATCACATCTCTTCTTGCGAGATTTGCATTTGTCGCACGCCTCAGAATGAGTGTTAGGGTGCACATACGTAATTAAAAATAGTGATTGCTTACAATGAAAGACTTCAAAGGCCTGCTTGCCAATCCTGGTAATGTGTCTACTTCAGCCACCATTGCCGCAAGACCTGATACGCTGCTAGAGCGGAAGCAAAACTGAAGCTGCAGAAGGCTGTTTCGAGAGCGGAAGCATACATATTTATCCTGCTATTTGTCAGACAAGGCTTGCTGAGCTTACAGCGAACTTGCCCCATCTTTAATGGAGTGCCAACTGTAGCCTTTTTTTTTTTAACCAATTGGGGCATTGAGGTTTGCCTCCGCCAAACAATCGCTATTTGCTTCCGATTACATTTACTTCCGCTTAGCCTTATATTAAAAATCTAGATTTGCTTCCGCTTAGCCTTATATTAAAAATCTAGATTTGCTTCCGCTTAGCCTTACATTAAAAATCCATAATGATTAAAAACTACAAATAGTCAAGTAATGGTTGATTATTTATTTTGGCTCGAACATGTCATCATAAGTGTGCTGCTTCTGTCACAACTTTATCTTTCTTTCTTCTTCCATCCCGACGCGACATCTCAAACACGACTCAAGAACCTTTCATAGCCGACTAATTTTCTCCTTGTGTATCGCTCATTTTCTATACGTCGAAAATTGGGGCATTCCAACACCATGACTCTGTTCCTTCGTGTCAATGACGCTTTAAATGCAAATCCCCCTTTCAGGCCGGATGAGACTCTATCTCTGGCAGGATCCGATTGGCTTTGGGCAGTTATGGCAGTTCACTTGCTCGCATTCGTAAGTGCCAACACTGCTTTGTTCTTTGATGACCATTCATGTTCGAGGTCTAATGTTAATATTCTGGTTACATTTATAGCTCATACTCCTAATTTTCTGCTTCACCACCCCAGAGAGTGATAGAGTTTTCCATTACCTGTTCACCATCACTCTCCTTGTTGGGACTGTGTCATACTATGCAGAGGCTTCTGATCTAGGCTGGAGCACAGTCAAGCAAATCGATAAGCTCGACAACGGTTCTTCTCGCCAACTATTTTACGCAAAGTATATAAATTGGGCTGTCGCCTTCCCTTCTGTTAGCCTTGCGCTAGGCCTACTATCCAACGTCTCTTGGACCACCATCGTCACAAACATATTTGTGTCCTTCCTCTGGGTGGTAACTTACCTCGCCGCTGCCTACACTACATCAAGCTATAGGTGGGGCTTTTTCACTTTTGGGACTCTGTGCTGGATCATTCTCGCCATGAGCACACTAAATGAGAGCCGCGAAGCAGCGTCACGTATTGGCCTTTCTCGGGACTACATGATACTTTCTACGCTAGCAAATTTTTCCTGGGTGCTTTACCCTATTGCTTTCGGACTTAGCGATGGGGGCAATGTCATAGGCATTACCGGCAGCTTCATCTTCTTTGGTATCCTCGACATACTAGCAGTGCCAGCACTTGCATTGCTGTTCATAATACTAGCAGGCAAGTGGGATTATCACCATTTGCATCTAGCTTTCAGCGAGCACCGCTATGCCCCGGAAGATCATGGCACTGCCTTGCCAAAAGGAAGCGAGACCGCAAGTCCCACTGGCAATAGCTCCACTGCCTAAGTTGTTGAACGACAGCGAGGCTTAGATGCCGACTTTTACCCCCCCTCGATTTCTTATTATCGAATCCAAAGATTTTATAGCAAACCCGGATGAATACAGGGCCGACCTATTGATTACAGGTAGATTATTAAATTAAATCTTGCTCTTTATAGAATATTTTTAGTTCTTGAGTCTCATGAGGTAATGTAACCGCAGATAATATACGGATACCAAGAGCATGGAATCCTATATTACTTATTCTACTTCGAGTTGTGGCAATACGACTTACAGCGGAATAATGGGATAGGAACTGCTCTATACCTTATTATATGTAACCCAGGACGTTACATCTGCCTATATTTACAACACACTTCAAACAATGCTTAAATACACATCTTCAATACCCTCACCATCCAATAAACCCCCTTTCCCATTCTCCAACCTTTCAAAATAGCATTCTCCATACAACTTCCAACCTACGCCTACATTTCTCTCTTTATCCCATGCATTTCTCAATAAAAAGGTCTCTCTCCCTCCCTTAAAAATACAAACCCTATCCCCGACACTTACATTTCTTGGCACCCATCCTATCCTCCCATCTCCTAAGCCACAAAATACCTTCCATTTCGTGTGCTCTTGAGAAATTATACACAGATAATCTTCCCAGTTATTATTAGATATGGGATGGCCTATGATCAGTCGCCCCGTGATATCTCGCATGAATGCTAGGTGATCTAATTCATTCGACTGTTCGCGTACTGTATTCATTTGCGGTTCTGAGCCAGAGGAAGCCCAAGGGATGATGGGCTCTTTGCTATAGGGGTTCCAATTACATGAAATGACGAGAAGAAAGGTAGTGTAGTGATCTGAAGAAAGGATCTCTCCGAAATCAAGCTCTGCTTTTGCACCTTGAAATAGATGTGGCCATTTCGAAACCATTAGGACCCTGAAACAACTCCTAAGCCAGTTTCTTTCAACTTCCATAATCGCCTCTGTAATGTCTACTGGTTGAAGTGGAAGATCTAATCCAGCTTTTTCATAGCATGCGGAGCGAGAATCAGCAATGTTCTTTACTGCCGAATGAAGAAGCAGGCAGTTGATAATGAGAGACGATTCAGAATCATCGAGATACGCTTCAGCCTCTTGGAGGAGATAGGAAGATGTCGGTCTCCCCCTTCCCATGAAGAAACTCGGTTTCGGGCCCTCAAAATCCGCAACCGTGGGCACCCATGAAGGGTCATCGGATTCTCGATCCACCCCAGCAGTATTCACCCACGACAAGGCTTTGACAGACTTGTTGTGCATCAAATCAACCACAACGAATTCCTGAATACCTCTAGATCTGAGCACCGATAGTTTGGGAGAGGAATCCAGTACTCTTCAACCCACGGGAGATTCAAGATAGCGAATAACTTATCCCGCGGGAGAGAGGATTGGAAAGACTGCGCGTGGAATAATATATCGAAAAAGGGTCGTCCAGGCTGAGAGGCGGTTTTCGTGTGGCGGAGCGTCTCGATTAAATGGATGTTTGACTCGTTTTCGGTAGGGATATGGACAGAGCGTCTAACCTCGGGGGAGCACGCGGCGAGGAAGCCGGCGGTGAAGAGGTTGGTTACCATACACATTGAGTCCCATGGTATGGTCTTGCTGCCGCAAAATACTTGGGCGGACGACGAGTTGACTACTTCTTGGATAACCCATAGGCGCTTGAAATACGAACGGAGAAAGAGGGTGCCTATATGCTGCCACGCGTTAGGTGGTAGGGCGGGGTTATTGATGATTTTTTTGATGGACTCGTTCATATTTCCGTCGTGCCAGAGCGCATTCATAAATACAACTGTCTTCTCGATAGCTTCGAATGCTAGGCTGTCTTCTTCTCGTTCTTCTCCTAGCCACACAAGAACCTGCTCCGCGCGAGAGTAGATGTAATCCATCATTTTCACCTGGCTGGCTTGTTCAACGGGATCTTTTTGGTTAATGCAAAGAGCATCTACCCACAGTACCCGTTGGTTAACAGGACTTCTCAGCTTTCTCAGAGCAGCATCTAGATTTCGCCCCACAGGCATTATCGCCCCGCAGCAAATAATATCCGTTGAGTTTGCATGGTCTCCCCAGACATAGGAGAGGGCTTCGAACTTTGGTTTGCGGCGGAGATCATGCTGTTGCAGATGACATCGAATAATCTCTTCTCCTAAGCCCGGTTCCAGGATTAGAAGCCGCAATGTTGGAGCTTTGAATTTATGAAGGCCCGCAATCTCAATCAAGTATTCAGGCAGCCCATGTTCTTTTGCGACTTGCTGCGAAAAATCCTGTGAAATCCTTTGTTGTGCATCAACTGAGGGGTGCTGGAACGTACGGCAGATTCCTGGGATGTCATACAATTCCCGTCGGTCTTCCACGGTCTCTTCAAGTTTGGAGTATATGGTAGAAGACATTTCTTTAATAATTTAGATTATCGATTCAATGATCTCTTATAGAAATATCTGACTTGAAGCCGCTGCCAGACTTGGCCTTAAAGTCGGGACGTGAGCTGCAGCTATTTTAACCTCAGCCGAGGGGGGGCCTAAGCATAGCCTCAGTCAGCTGCCAGAAGCAAGGTCATCTAACTTGATATAGTTAAACTTAGGGTACTTCACATGATTCAAATATATATGTTGCAAAACTAGATTTCACTTGCCAAAACTCTTTGCTATTCTAGCAACTGCCAAGTGCTATAAGGTTCCTTTGCTTATAATTATAGTATAATTTAATAAAAAGTAAACTACTATACTTAACGAATATTTATAAAAAAGCTTATACAGAAAGCAATTGCAGCTTTATAATAAATAAAAAAACATTATTAGTAACCAAAGGGTTAAAAGTAATTAAATTTTAATATAAAAAGTATATAAAGTATTGTCGCCTTCCCTGCCGAGTTTGGACCCACTGAGCTAGTGACTAACCTACAGTACAGAGGCCGTTGTGGAACGACACCTCCCTCGTTGTGCAACATAAATACAACACCATCTAGCATAGCATTAGCTCAAAGACCCTCACATTTATATCTATTACCCGCCAGCGGGATGTGTAGAGGTTGAGTGCACTTATAGACTAGAATTTGATCTGTGCTACAGGCTGCGATAGCTGCCAGAAATGGCATGCCGGGACAAATCATAAAGCATCCACCTTCCCGCAGCCCATAATAAACGAACGCGCCCAAAGCTCAATGGATCATTAACGCGTCGACTGGTCAACACGTCACTGCAGTCGGTGTGTGTTGATTACTTATCTCGTTTAACAACTATCTGCTCCTTCTCCACACCTGGGTTTTGTTTCCCCTTCAAGCGGGCAATCATGGCACCAGACCAAGAATCCACGACTGCAACGGTGCCTGCGGCGGAAAACAACTCGGCACGACCCAGCTCTGCCGTCGGGACCCTCGAATGCCGCGATGAAGAGAGCGATGCAGGCAACCTGGGCACTGATGCCTATCGTGTTGGGCTTAAGGAGGACCTTCTCAGCGCGCTCTCAAGCATCCAGACTTCAGGATCCTTCGCATCGTTCGATGTCCTGCCCCAACCGCCGCCTGTCGACCTGTTCGTCAACGACGTCGGCGACATTACCCTCCCCCTGAGCGAGTTCCAAGCCTGCCAGCTGATCGCAAAGGCTCGCCAGGCACCATACGGCAAGGGAAGTGCCACCATCGTCGACACTACTGTCCGGAATACGTGGGAGTTGGATGCAGGGCAGTTTACCTTCCGGAGCCCAGATTGGCCGGGCTTCATCCAGGATTTGTGTACCCGAGTCGCCTTGGATCTAGGCATCAATGCGCCCATCACGGCGCAGATTTACAAGATGCTCATCTACGAGAAGGGTGCCATGTTCAAGGCACATACCGAGTATGTTCTCCCAAGAATCTAAAGATCCTAAATCCCGATAGGTGTGACAGCCGCCATGTGGACTGACTATGCCACGCAGCACTGAGAAGATCCCTGGTATGTTCGGCACCCTCGTCGTCTGCCTGCCGTCAACGCACCAAGGCGGAGAGGTGGTTCTCAAGCACTGCGGGGAGAAAAAGGTTTTCAGGACGTCCGAGGTCTCGCAGTCCTTCGCTTCCTGGTACTCGGACGTGTCGCACGAGGTACTTCCTGTCACGTCGGGCTTCCGATGGGTCCTGACTTACAACCTCGCCCTTGATTTGACAGGGCCAGACCCGTCGGCGAGCTTACAGCGGTTTGAAACCCGAGCGCTGCACCGCACTCTGAAACAGTGGCTCAGCGTGGCCGGAGTGTCGCGCGAGAGGAACTGCGTGTACCACGTGCTCGACCACGACTACACTGAAGCTAACATTTCGCTCAAGGCGTTGAAGGCTCGAGATTTGGCTCAGGTCCACGTGCTGAAGGAGATGTCCAGCGAGTTGGCGGTCGATGTCTTCCTCGCGCTACTAGAAAAAGAGGAGATGGGAAGCTGCGAGTCCAACACCTGGGATAGGAGGTACTCCAAATTTAGTTATTACGGCTACGACGACGACGAATCCAACTATCACAGCCTTGATGAAGTTTTCGAGACGAAGTATGCAGTCAAGACCCTTGTCGACTTAGAGGGCCATGTGGTGACGCAGGGTCTGCATCTCAATGGAGATGACATCCTCCAAGAAAATTGCTTCGAGAACCTTGAAGCGGAAGAGGAGTACGAAGGGTTTATGGGTAACTCGGTGTGTCTATTGGCTGCTGGATTCGAATCTCGCTCCAGGATTACTATTGAGAGCTGGATGTACTAACACGATTTTTTTTTTCAGGGCCCAACCGCGACGCACTGGTATCGAGTGACGGTGCGCTGCCCCTTGATCCTCATATTTGCCATCGCTGATCACCACTCACTTCTCGAATATCTAGGCTGTTGTCATCGTTCCCCGTGATTCGCTCGTCTCTTTCTTCAATTCATACGATCGTTCTTGGTACTCTTCATCCCAAAAGAACCTAAAGGCACAGATCCGGTATTTGGCCCGAACATGTCTGCAGCCACAGGCCCCCGAGTCTGCGGTCAACGCGCTGGTAAAACTATCCCAGCAGGCGTGGAACAACTGCGACAAGACGACCAACAGCTTTAGGGCGCAGGAACCGTCGATTGATGGGGACGGCATACGGGACGTCCTTGTGACTGCGATCCAGCACGGAAAATATACCTTCTTTGAAGAGGCTGCTGACCATCACCAAGGCCTTTTGCCGCTGGGTTTCTTTGTTTGGATGCGGCAGTGGTTGAGTACTGGCAGCAGTGGCACTGATAGACGGTTTCATGCTGTTCGAAAGGGGTATGCTTGCTGGATCATGTTGCGCTTTCGAGAGCTAACTATAGTAGAATATCGTCTGCCATTTCCTCATACCCTTATTTCGCCGACCAGTTTAGGGCCATCACGAACTTCGTGCCGATTCCAAACGACTCTTTGGCTTCTGACACCGGTGCCACTCCTGATTACGTTTTGGACTGGGCTCGTGAAAAACTCCGCTTCTGCCTGGATGCCTGCGCGTCTAAGTCGCTGGGCTGCGAAGATGGACCTGCCATGGTGGACCTCGCCTTGTATTTCAATGACTCCTCCACCTTTCTGTCGCAAATGTGCGTTGCACCGGTTTCCTTAATTGCGGCTATTCATATAATGCTTACTATTTCCGCAGTGTTACGCCCAGAATCGATCAAAGACATGACGCCGCCGCCTTCTTTCTTGCATTCCTGGTCCGGCTACGACAGCAAAGCACCAAGGGCATCCTACCAATGAAAAGCACTATGCAGCTTTACCAGATCAAGGCCAGATCTTTCATCACTTTGGCGGACTTCACACAGTTCCACAGCGACGCTATAGTCAAGGCCACGCCAACCAAAAAAGCATCATACGGCGGACAAGCCCAAAGATTTGATCCCCGAACAGCCATCAGTTATGAGGTGCTGGCCGATTTCTTCTCAGCCATCGTCCGGTCAAGCACAGAGGCAGACGATCTCGTCGCGCCATTCATTTCCAAACTCGTGGCAAATGCTTACCGGCTCCCAGCAGTCGAACTCCACGCTTTGTGGCTGCCTTTCCTGCGCTGCCTCATACCCATTTTCGCCTCCAACGCCATACCCCTCGATACCCCATATTGTCAACAGCTCTTTTCCGCCCTCTTACAGGCGTACCTCGACAGGTACGTGGGACACGAGCCTACCGAGGATAGAAACCTGGTTCGGCGAGGTGTTGACTGCTCATGCTCCGACTGCGAGTCCCTGAACGCTTTTCTGGTTAGCCCGACACAGAGAGTCGGCTTCTTTGCCGTAAATAAGCAACGACGTGGGCACTTGCACCGGGGGCTCGACACTTGCGGAGTCGACTGTACCCATGAGACGCGCCGGTCGGGATCACCCCAAACTTTAGTGGTGACCAAAACGTTCCAGCACAATAAGAAGATGCGTCTCGACTGGAAGTCGCGGTTAATGCTGGCGGAGGGACAGATTCGGCAGTTCGAGCAGGGCCACCTCTCGCTACTACTTGGGCCGAACTACGCAACTATCGTCAACATGGCGCACCTCTCCGCGTCGGAGCTGGCTCAGGGTCAATCGTCACCAGTGGTTTCAGCCTCCCTAAGGACGACAACCCAGCCTCGTCGGCCGTTACAAGCGATCAGCCCCGTGGCTGGAGTGAAGCGGAAGTTTTCCTTCACGGAGACCGACATCGTTGATCTGACCCGCGAGTAGGGTGGGTGCGGTTTAGAGCCAGCTAAGTCTCACACTATGTAATCCCCGCGATTATCTGCATGTAGTGTTATAAGTAAGAAGGCGCGCCAGGCGATGCTGGGACTTGACGGCATTGTTAATAATACCGACTTGTATAGAATAAAAACTCTTGCTGGTGGTAATTTATTTTTTTCGTTTTACTTCCTTCTTTCTTTTGCCTACTTCTTGATAATTCTTTTACTTATTATTAATACTCTGTCTGCATAGAGTTTGGCGTACCAGGGACATTGTAACCCGATTATTGACGGTGTCTTGAAATATTGTAAGTGTGTGGTGTACGGGGACAAAGAAGCTCACGATGAATTGTGGAAATGCAGAACAGGGACGAGCGTGACACTTTGTATCTGAAAATTATGGACCTCACAAGCAATGGCCTAACCGGTCAGGGGAAACCGTCAGTGATGGATGGGACAAATCTGGCTAATGGTGCCCTCGTGCCGAGACTTGGTGGCAATTGGAAGAGTTGGGTGGCTAATAAATCGCCTGGACAGATTGTTCCCTGGATTGGACACCTTCATCTGTGGCATTTTCCTTTTTCTGCCATTCGCAGAAGTCGCACTTGGCAGCGGTGCGGCCCCCGTGGGATTATGGCTTGGGATGCAGAGTGACCCTGGGCTTGGCGGGATGCCAGCCAGCGAATCAGAACAGCACAGAACCTGAGATACCTGCCCATTGCTGTCCCCTTCCTTCACTCATCTGTTTCGCATACATTATCATTCACAAGAGTTGTTGTTGTAGTCTGGTGACTTTGTTGGCACGGTACCCCCACGGCCTGCATAGCGCCGTCCCGTTTGTTGCGTCCCAAGGGCTTGGAAGGGATATATCACGAAGTCAGAGATGGCCACCCAGATGAATTGATCATCCTTTTGTTGTTCATAGTTGTCAACCAATTTTTTCATCTACGTCACAATCACTCTGGTATCATCACATCACCAGGATGTATGAGTGCGAGACTTGCACCAAAGAGTTCTACAGTGCCCGCTCCTGCGAGCAACACATGAACGATACGAGTCACTTTGGACCACGGTATGAATGTGACACTTGCACGCGTGTATTCCGTTCCATACACGCAGTCCAACAGCATATGAATTCCTTGAATCATTGGGCACCAAGGTCTCCTTGCGAGATTTGTTCCATCAAGTTTCATACCGAGATAGCCGCCGAGCAACACATGTAGGCTAAAGGCCATTACCAGAATTACTGCAAGCCGTGTGGCAAACATTTCCAGAATGGCAACAACCTCCAGATGGTCAGTATTCCCACATACCACATATCCACCCCGGATGATGTCTGGAATTGCCCAATCTAATGGGTCCAAAACATCTGAACTCCAGGACCCACTGAGGGACTAGTGTTCCCTGCCCATTCTGCTAGACCGGCTTTACCAGCGCAAGCGGGCCTCAGCCACCACCTCGAAACTGGTTCATGCATCAACGCGCCTTCACTCAACAGAGAAAGAATATTGGCACTGGTCCAGAAACGCGACCCTCATGGCCTCATTACCAACAAGCAGATCCGGTGGCGCGATGAGGAAAGCGCCACGTACGAAGCGAACACCACTTGTCCGCGGGCAATTGTTGGTGTGCTGCGCATCTTTCTCCTCGATTTCCCCAATGCCTGGGCTCAGTGTATGGCGAGGCCGCGTGGAGGAGAGAAGGAGGTTTGCCTGATTGGGCATCGGTCTTGACAATCTTAATACCCAAATGACTGAAAACATAAACTCACCTTACTACTGAGATGAGCGACCTGATATAATTGTCAATGGTTGATGGTCAACCGGGTGCTATGCATTCGACCAGCTACTTGGAGGCTGAAGTGGGTGCTCATAGTTCATGAGATAGTGATATTTTAAGAAACGAAGGTTTCCAATGAACTTTGATCGCCTTTCTGCGGATGTGACCCGAGAAGAGCGGAGCGACATGGTTAAAACTGTCAACTTCTATGGCATCATCACTTAGGGCGCGAGCTAATAGATTACTTATAGGACAAAGAATGGGCAAGGGATTTTCACGAAATAAGAAGATATTACTGTATAAAGATATTAGTATACTAGAAGAGTGTACATTGATTTGAAATGTACATACGGCTTTGGCTTTCTATCGGTTCCTTTGTGACATCGGGCAACCACCTCCATTGCTAAAATAACTCGCCCACCTGATAATCCTAAAGGACTTATTTTAGGTTTATCCCGTAGGAACCTACCCTATATTAACTGTCTAATGCATGGTTTGTTATATTTTCTTTTTAATTTCACAAACCTTCTAATATTAAGTAAAAGTCAGTATTTCAGGCCAATATCTTATCAACAACAGACATAATTTCTATCAGCTCTTCATCGCAAAATGGTTTCCCCATAACCTGTAAGCTCCCAGGCACCTCTTTCACATTCTCTGGAACATATGATGGCTCATAGGGAACATCACGCACAAATTCCTTGTCCAAAGAGAAGTCGCCCTTCATGTACGGAATAACGCCCGCGGGCCAATCCAACACATTTGCAAGTACAGTATATATTGGGAAGCCGTATGTGTCATGCTTCGGTGCTGGACTTTGATAGGAGGGCATCAAAATTGCGTCTAGTCCATTCTCAACCATGATTTTACGATATCCTGCCTGAAGATTTCGACGCTGCACATTTAATTCAAACACGTCGTTAAGTGTGAGGACTTGATCCTTCATATCTGAGAAGCTTGTAGTCGATATAGACTTTATGACTGGCTCGCCGCTTGCTTGGATGTGTTTCATTGCAGTCTTCGATGCATCGAGACCAAAGTAACGCCATGCGAGCCGTGTAACGCTATACAAAGTCTCAGGAAGAAGAGAGTCAAGGGATACAAGAGAGTGACCTGCTTCCTTAAGTTTCATCTGTGCAGTCATCAATGCTCGCATGATGGTTGGATGGAGAGGTCTCTCGTTGTCTTCGGTGATGACTCCAAGTCGCAGCGGCGAGGACTTAACGGGCAAATCGCGGTATGGGGCAGCGATGGCTGTCTCATCCAGCTCCCATGGGTTGTTGTTGAAAACTGTCCTTGTCAGTAGCTTCAGATCTCTCACAGAATGAGCAAGTGGTCCAGCTGCAGGCAGTATGCCAAACATTCCGGACCTTCCTGCACCGCTCTGTCCACCATATGGGATACGACACGCGGTCGGTTTGAATCCGTATACACCATTCATAGCGGCCGGGATGCGCACGCTTCCGGCGATGTCGGTACCTATTCCCAGAATGGAACCACGCTGCGCAACGAGGCTTCCTTCGCCGCCAGATGAGCCGCCAGCGGTGAGACAGAGGTTATAAGGGTTGAGAGTTCGAAGAAATATGTTATTCTCGGAATCTGCTGTCATCATTGTGGTCGGAATGTTTGTTTTGCAGTACAAGACGGCGCCCTCTCGGAGGAGAATTTCAACAAGAGCAGCGTTATCGCTCTTCGGTGGATTTGAAATCCATGATACAAATCCCAGCGTAGTGTCGACGCCTTTAATGGAGAACGATTCCTTGACGGATATTGGCAAACCATGGAACGCCTTGTTCGGCCGTCCATGTGATGCTAGATACGCGTCATATTCCTTTGCTTGAGCAATTGCCTCCTCGAAAAAGATCTCGGTGAGACAATGTGTCTGTAAGTCTGTTAATAACAGATTTACTGGGGTAAATGAAGATATTTCTCTCACCAGTTGCTGAGCGATCGCAGCTCTTTTGCAAAATGCTACTGTCACTTCTTCAGAAGAAAGCTCCGCCGACGCAAGTTTCTCAATCAGATCTGTAGCATCATGTTTTTCGGTAATGTCAATCTCTTTTTGTGTCAGAATTCCGCATGTTCTTGGGAGGTCCAAGACATTCTGTGTAGAAGTCTCCGAGACGGCTTGAATGATATCAGAAGTCAAAAGCCAGTCCATAGGGATTTTTCTGAGCACCGAATTGCGTTTGACCGCAGCCTTTACGGTCCAATATGCCTCATCCTTGTCCGTACGGGCATTCGATACTTGCATGGTATCAATCGTGGTAGTGGTAGCAGTAGTCGCCATTACTTGGAGTGAGTGCTCTGTCACTTTGCTAAAGTAAGATATAAACTGCCTCTATAATTACTCTTTAATGCACAATGGTGCAGTCTTTATACCCGAAGACTGCCGGATTCAATCAGATATCTCTTGTTATAGGCTTGTATCAAGCTCGGTGTATGTATAATAGCAAAGCCGATAAGACGCCAAACATGTGAACTGGGGCGCAATTCTCCTTGATTGGATGAGAGGCAATCCGCCAATTAAAGTAATTTGCGCGGTATAGGACCATGGCTTCTGATTAACGGCTGTCGGGTGGGTCTGACGATACCACACTAACCCCGCGCACTTCAATCCATGGCGTGAATCGACTTCATCTGCAATCAGCACATGATGTTTTTGCTGTCCCTATTCGAGTTCCAACCCTTGGGCCATATGTTCCACTGAACAAGCTTACTACCAGCATGCTGGGTGCACAAAACGTCGACCACAAAAGGGCTGAAGATGGTACCTTATTTGCCAATAATCATCATTAGGCTGAAAGAAGCTCAATAACGGTATATTTACACAGTATCATGAAGCAGTAAAAAGTTCCTAATTTATGGAGAGATCAACACTAATTCCGTCAAAATCAGCCTTTGCTTTCTCAAACATGCCTTCTTGGGTTAGAAGGTCCCAGCCGGTCATAGCCAAAGCCTTCCCCACAATCACCGCCATGTCGAATGCTTGTTCCGTCCCAGCCACCTCCGCAAATTCTTTGCTATGGATCTTGATCCCCGCATCACACGGAATCCCAAACATGGGGTGCAGAGCTGGCATCACATGACTCACATTCCCCTGATCCGTACTCGCTCGTACAACCTCCGTAGCCAGGACCTGAACATCCTTCCCAGCCGCTTTCATATGTGAGGTGTAGGCTTCACAGAGAGGAAGATTGGGAAGCAGATCTTCGTAGGCAGCTTCGCGCTTGATTGAACAACTGCAGCCTGTTGCCAGGGCACCAGCACTAAGGCACGCTTCCACCTTCTCAGCCAGTTCTTTGGCTGCTGCGAGTTTAGGTGCTCGGACAGAATAGAAGGTTTTGGTGCTTTCAGGAACGATATTTGCTGCCTTTGGTGCCTCTATTACTGCGCCGTGGATACGACAATCTGGGCGCATTTGTTGCCTGAGCATGCTGACGTTGTTGTAAGCAGAGACAAGAGCGTCGAGAGCATTCACGCCTTCCCAAGGTTCAGCGCCCGCATGAGCAGATTTGCCCGAGTAGGTGGCAAAGACTCCGATATGAGAATTTGTGAGGAGACCAGCGCATCCGCCAGGATATTCAACTGATCCATTGTTGGGGACCGGGCACGGATGAGCCATGAGTGATACATCGACGCCCTTGAATGCTCCATTCTCAAGAAGAACGACTTTCCCTCCTCCTAATTCTTCTGCTGGTGTACCGAGAAGTTGAAGTGTTGCGTCAATGCTGAATCTCTTGACCAAATGACTGAGTGTCACGTATCCAACGATACTGGCCGTAGCGATTAAGTTGTGCCCACAGCCATGTCCAATACTCGGCAAGGCGTCGTATTCTGCATTGAAGTTTATTGTTCGACCTCCATTGCCACTAACAGTCCGGGACTCGAGGGCAGTGGCAAGACCATACGCATGCCGAGTGGTGTTGAACGAGTTGGCTTCAAGGAATTCACAGATCACATCGTGGGCGTGATGTTCCTGCCACGCCGTTTCCGGAGTGTCATGAATCTGTAGATTATTAGCTGTCGCGTTACGCTGAATTGACAGGAGGAGTCGAACGAACCTTTCTGTTAAGCTTGGAGATGTCAGGTACAAGCCTACCAACTATGTCATCAACGTCTCGCCGCATTTGCTCAATGGCGGGAAGCTGACGGGGACCAGCGACAATAAGAGATTGTTTAACCAAGGTAGTAAACATTGTGAAGTAAAAGTAGAAGGCGTCGGTGACTTCCGGCAGGGTCCAAACTGTGTGTGGTAGACACCGAGCGATATGTTCTTTCTTTAAAGGACAAAATAGAAATACAGGAGATTGGCAGGTATTTGAACAGATCCATCATTTTGACTTTTGATATGACAATCAGCCGAAGTCGTTGTCCATGTGCCGTATCCATCTGCGAGTTAGATTAAATTGCGCGGTTATCTGACCAAGCTCCACGGTAGCCACAGATAGACTATCTGGCCATGAGGACGAATGCAACAGAGAGATATCGGGAAAAGAGCAGAGAGAAGGACGCTAATATGGAGTCGGCAAGACTGGGGGCGTTAGATCTTCGAGTGCGGGGTTGACCAATCAGAATAATTTGCGCGCCTGCAACCATCTTCAACTGCCAGGTGCGGGACCCGAGCCGATCTGGAATCGCACCACAACACTACGCTCAACATGAATGCGATAGACCAAGGCGGAGCAACCGATATAATGCTCTTGACGATAAATAAGGATGCTCTTGATAAAGGGCATAAGTATCCCCTTATTTCCTCCTCTCGAACATCATTAAAATCATCATCATCACCATCACCACCATCTTGAATCATCAAGGTCCAAGATCAACCTCGGCCCCTACTCTATTCTTTTTGCCCTCTACCCTCAGGCTTACACGAGCAATATAGAATCTGACTTGTCGCAATGGAGAAGACCTTCGACAATAAGGAGAAGTTCGCCCAGGATACAGAGATTGACTTGTCGCTTCAGCAGTCACTAAGATTCGGGAATCTCGACAACATCTCCGAAGATGAAGACAAGTCAACCAGGCAGAGACTTGACGTAGTCCTCATGCCTCTTCTGGGATTTTGCTATATGCTTCAATTCCTTGACAAGATGACTCTCAGTTATTCTTCTCTCCTTGGTCTGATCAAGGATACGGTAAGCTCCTTACCCAATAAACCCTCAGCACCTGACGTCGGGACTGAATGTGTGAGCAGAAACTTGTCGGCGGCGAATATTCCTGGTGCGCTAGCATCTTTTATTTCGGATATCTCTTCTGGTCGTTCCCAGCTTCTTATCTGATGGTTCGAATCCCCATTGGCAAATATCTTGCAGCATCTGTCTTTCTTTGGGGTGCTGTATTGATGTGCCATGCTGTGACCAACAACTTTGCTGGGCTTATGGTCACCCGATTCTTACTCGGAGTGACAGAGGCATCTGTTGCGCCCGGATTCTCGCTTCTTATGGGCATGTTCTATAGCCGCAAAGAACAGCCTTTTCGACAAGGTCTGTGGTTTGCAGGAAACTCCGTGGCAAACGTCATCGGTGGTGTGCTCGCATACGCTATCGGAACCACCGAATCTGCCCTTGCCCCATGGAGACTTCTCTACATCATCTTTGGCGCAATCACCGTCTCCTGGAGTGTGCTCATGCTGCTTCTGCTTCCCGACTCTGCAGCCAATGCAAGGTTCTTATCTCCTCGTCAAAAGGAGGTAGCAGTCGGCCGTGTTGCAGACAACAATACAGGTATCCGAAGCAATAAATTTGAGTGGTCACAAGTATTCGAGGCTCTTCGGGACCCTCAAGCATTACTACTGTTTGGCTGGTCGCTCAGTGTCAACCTTCCCAATGGCGGTCTTACTACGTTTGGCTCTCTTGTCATTGCCGGCTTCGGATACAAGGGCTTGGATGCTTTGCTGCTCCAGATGCCTGGTGGTGCCACTCAACTTGTAGCTGTCCTCTTGGCTTGCTATCTGCCATCTCGATTCCGAAATATTCGCATCATCACCATGTTTTTCCTCAACTTGATCAGTCTCATCGGGATGGTGATGATCTATGTGATTCCTTCTGAACATAAAAATGCAAGACTTGGTGGATACTGCCTCTGTACCGTTTTTGCTGCCAACATGCCACTCTCATTCTCTCTTGTTTCTTCTAACATTGGAGGCTTCACGAAGAAGACTACGGTTAATGCGATGCTATTTATTGCTTACTGTGTGGGAAATATTATTAGCCCACAGTTTTACAAGACCAAAGAGGCTCCATCATATCCTGTGAGTTATTCCAACTACCTTGCAGCCAGCATAAGCATTTAAAGCTAACAGTTCTCAATAGACTGGTATCAGATCTTCCTTGAGCGGCTTTGCTTTCGGCGCATTCTTCCTCGTTGCCCTACGAGTATACTTGCCATGGATAAACTCGCGCAGGGAAAGGTCTGCAGCTCAAGCATCTACTGAGGAAATGTCGGCGACAGATATCATTGAGGAGCACCTGAGCAATAGAACTGATTGGCAAAGGCCGGACTTCCGATATGTTTATTAGTTCAAGTATATTTCCTAAAGGACAATCGTATTTTGATTGATATGAGATGACATAGTTATATTTGATGGGCGTGATACTGCGCCATAATCGTAGACTACTGTAGTTTCTAAGCAAAATATGTCAATCCGTTGTTAGATTTGTTCTCCCTCTGGCTGGCTCCTTGGCTGTCATGTTACTTGAACGAACAGAGCTAAGAGAATATCCCTCCGAAGTAGAGCCGATAGGGTCGCCTATCAAGGAAATGGAAATGCGGCACTATCTGGGAACACCTCCAAAATTGCAACCAACCCAGAAGTCGAGTAGCAAGGAAACCAAACCTCTCTCTTCCATTTTGCAGAGCCTTGTGATACAAGGTCACGATGCGTCTCATATCCAATGCCTAAACTTAGAACCAAAACTGGATGTTTGACTTGTAAAACCGCCAACGCGTGTACAGATGAACGCAGAAGCTGACAAGCAACAGGTCGTAAACGCAGAAAGAAGTGTGATGAGACACGTGAACGGTGCCAGAACTGCTCGAGAAATGCCCTTGAATGTATATGGCCTTCAAAAGAACAAGAAAAAGACCGTCGACATCTGCCGCGCGCCGGGCGGTCCACTGATGAAGACGGTGATGGAAGTGAGCTGAACGCCTTGGTGGGATGGGACCGACCGGGCAATCCGATCCATGAGCTCTTCAACACAGTATTCTCTCCATCGACTCCATTATTGCCTATAGACAGTCATTTTTACACGGTCCCATCGTCTCTGTCTGTTGTGCTCACCAATGTAGAAGAACCAAACGCGACAGTGTTGCTTATTGCCTTTGCAAATGAGTTCCTACCAGGTCGTATTCATCCAAGATCCTATCCGCGGTATTTGGACTTTTCATATGCCTATGATATGGCATTGTCTAGCCCGCCGTTACTGAATGCGTGTCTGGCCTGCGCGACCAGTGCTCTTGGGACAAAATATCAAGTTGCGAATGCGGAGTTGAGAGCAGAACGGATCTACGCAAAGTCCATTCATGCGCTGCGAAGCATACTTGAAGAGGGAGGCTGTGAAGGTAGTGAAGATTGGTTACTGGCGACAGTGGTAATCCTCTGTCTCTATGAAAATCGGAAACCAGGCTACGATCCAGCGACAGCCACTGCACACATCGCAGCAGCCGGCCAGGTTTTCCGCAAGCGAGCCATAAACAAGATGAGCGCCGCTACCGCAGTATCTACCCAAGAACTGGCAAGTTCGCAAACATGGTCGGCCATTATATTTGAACGCATCTTCACTGAGTCATTTCTATACCACTCTATGGTCATGTCGGTGCAGGATTCGAATCTCACGCCACTGCAAGACCCAGTGTTGCGCAAAGTCTTCGACGATTACTATGACTCCTGCTTGTTGTCGACATCCCCGGAACCTAAGAATTGGCCGATTCTTGGAATGCATTATCAGATAGTCCGGTTGTTTTCCGATCTTCTTGCTGCCCTCGACGACAAGCCCACATTTTGTGGACTCGGTGACATCATAGAACAGCTGGGGCTATGGGAAAACACGTCGCTGACAGATGAGCATGGAATTCATGTCTTGCTTTACATCTCTGCTGCAAAACTTCTTGCTTATCAGCACCTGGTGGATTCCTCATACGATACCACACAATACCAAAGTCTTTTGCAACAGGAACTTGAAAATTGTAAAAGTTTGCTTGCAAAGATCGATGTTACTACCAATGCTTTTAGCCGGTACTTCTTTTGGCCTCTGGCCATCATCGAAAGGGTGATTCAAAATCCCACTGCGTCACTGCTGGTCCAGCAGAAATTGAAGACTATGGAGGACGTCGATCCAGCAGGAAAGAGAGCCTACGATTGGGTCGCCGAGGGATTCGAGCGAAGATTTAGGGTTGCATGATACCACTAAGCATGTCTATGGTAAAGATCCCATGCTTTGCTGACATATGAGATTTAATTACGTATACAAATAGTTTCAAGATAACAACCCAAGCATGTTGATACAATAGGGTCAGCTTCACAAGCATTCCGGAAGTTATTTGCATACGTTTTTTTCGTTGAAATAGTACAATGAAAGATAGAAATCACCCATTGATCACCGGATAATAGATTTCAGGTCAAGGGCTTTGCTTTCTTCTACCATATCCATTCCCAAATATCGGATTTATTTAAGCTAAGCTTCTCTCAAAAATCTCTAACATACAGATAATCGAGTAATTGTGAAATGCGACGAGCCCTGCCTAATATCCAATCCTATGTTAACAGCTAGCTATCTAAGCTTCATAAATAACTATCTTAGAATGAAAGCATATATTTAATCGTTCAAACTGGATATAAGAATGTTCGATAGATACCGCCTTGGCTCTGGACAATCTTACTCACCCTTGTTCCAAGTCTAAACGTTATTCTCAGATCGTTTCCTAATTTGTCAGGGATTATATGATGTATAAAGCCTGAATGCTTACGAAGCACGTGGAGGATTGAGATGGGTGTAATATTACTAAATACTAGAAAGACTCAAACAGTGAATATCGTACCTAAGCTGCGTGTCGCAAGGCATGCAATATGAGTAGAAGAAAGGCTAACATATAACATTAAGCTACTTAACTGTTGCATGTACAAAAGAATAGAAAGAAATATAACATGGATCTCTTTAGGCCAGGATTTGGAATGTATATATCTACATCATTCAAGACTGATCAGAGTATCTGTCACTATGGCCAATAGCGCAAATGATGCTGATGTCACTGTCATGCGTGGATTTCCCGTTGAATTCTAAATTGAAGTCATACAGGTGAAATTGGGATTAATTGGCGCTGAATAGGATCACAGGCGAAGGCTGTGGCGGCGGCAGGTATACTGGATGCGGCTGCAGAATTGATTGTCGCCGCGCATGGGTTGGTGGTTGGGCTGGGCCTGAGCATTCCACATGTGGGCCCGAGAGAAGTCATGTTGAATGCTATGGCATCTGTTGTGTCGTGCTTGTCAGCTGATGTGGCCGCCACAAGATCGGGTGCCTGCCCAGACTTGCTAATGGTCAAGGTGGTGAAGGTGGTTTTACCGAACGTGGTACCATGCTGAGAACAATTTCCGTACTCCAGATACCAGGTAAGAGTCCAGAAGCCGTCCGGGTAGGCAAGGGTGTTGACAGAGCCGGTGGCTAGATAAGGATCACTAAGTGTGAGGTTCTCAATGATCAGCTCAATGGAGCTGGGGATGGAGTCTGGGAAAATCTGGTTGTTGCCCTCCCATAATTGCTAGATAATTGAGGATGCCGACACATTCACACCAGCCAGAGTTGAATTCTGCAGTCCAAATACAATAGGAATTAATGGCTTCTGTAAACTGGTTCAGGGTGAGACCACGTACCAAAAAGTAGAAGGTTGGTACTTCTTCTGGGAAGTAAGGTACTATCCCGCAAGACCTTTATATTACTCTTCAGATTTATATCTTGCATGTCATATCATTCGTATGGGTAAGCCCTTTTGTTGGGTTAGCTAATACGATGTCACTTGTCAAGCCGGGCCAACGCCGACGTACCAAGGCGCCAAAAGTTCTTACAGGCTGCGTAACATGCAAATAGGTGCCGCTAACGACTGCGATGTCCCTCCTTTTTATCTTTTAAAACTTACCTAACCAAGACAGCAGGAGTGGGTGGATGCAATCCCTTTTGGACGCAGGCTTTGGGCTGATTTGTAGATCAACAGCTCGCAGGATCAAGTGCGACAAAGCGAGGCCGGCTTGCCTAAAATGTATTCTTCAGCCCCTCCCATTTATCTTCTAGGCATCGCTGTAGGCTGGGCTTGTGTGTATAAAGAGTGGAAGAAGGAATTGCGATTCGTCAACGTCAGTACTAGTCTCGTTCGCTCTCCAAGTCGTGCGCAGCTGCGGGCTCTTCAGTTTTACGTCGAAAAGAACTGCCGGGCAATTAACTACATTCTTTCCGGATGAGCTATGTGACACAATCGTGCTTCAGTTGTCGCATTTTGAACCTCGCATCCAGCACCCATTGTCGGCCCTTGCATCCTATCACGAGCTCTTTACTAGTGCAGCTCGTCGACCTGAACGCGACGCCTTTTGGAATACAACAATATAATGCCTCCATCAAGCTGCTCCTTAGGTCTGCGGGCACCCTGGCGTCCACGATCGTCAAGCTAGTTTCCGTGCCCGTTTTCTTCTGCATCGAGGTATGCTGAACGCTTTCGTAATCCGCTGGATAGCAGAAAGACTAACATGGGTCTATCCAGGCGCTTCGGGGAAATCACGAATCTGCCTTCGGTCTGCTCCAGTGTGGCATACAGTTGGTCGATAAATGGAGGTGAAGAGAATCCGTGTCGACAGTACATCACCCAGTCATCATATCCTGCGAGCCATCGAAGGACTGCTCCCTAGATTAACGATTCACACGAGATGGGTGAGTGCTCTCTTGTGCTACTGCACCTGCCGTTCCTAACCTTAGCAAGTTTATTAAGGAGAGGGCAACACAAAGGTCAGCCTGCACCTTCAACGCCCTACCACGCAGTTCACCATTATCTTTTACGTCACTGGCTGAAACCCGGGAGTTCCTAGTCATTTATGCTGTGGGATATCTAAACCTAGAGCGAAAAGAACGACTTGAACCCCAATATTATATTCGAATACTGGGAAAATGGTCCGCCGCCCTAGATTCTTTGTTGCAGTCCCGAAAGGGCACTGATATTACTGCAGAGAAGAGAGCCATTTCCTTGCTGATGTTGTATGAAAGATACTGCGTTCTGAGGTTACAACCGAAATCTTCGCTGGAGTATTTGGATTCGGCCGAATCGCCAGCTGCGTAGCAGACAAGTAATAGAGGAGCTTGTTAGACTGGCTGCCTCGGCACTAGGAATGGAGGCTGTTGAAGACGATACCCGTATGCAGCCCCAGGGCAAGCCAATCTTTCACCTCGAGGTCGGAGTAACGTGGATCCTTTTTACCCTTCTTCCACGATGCTACGATCCAATTATACAGCGAAAAATACTGACAATCATGCCGCAAGGCCTAGTGCAAGGGGGACTCTGGAGCAGTGCTTTCACCTCGAGGATTGGGGAACGCATCTTAGCCATGAAGGAAGCCGAAATCGAGAATTCGTTTACGGTAAGCGACCTAGGGGAGACGGTCGGTATTAGGGTCAAAGGAGTTAGTTCTAATCCAGAAAACAGCCATGTCTCTGTGGTTTTAAACTGAGGGGAATGACGCCCGATGGCTAGAACTCATCCCTCTTTAACTTAAAGAATTAATTTTCCTCTTAATATAACCCTTATATAATATTCTGTTGCAAGATACAGTATGGCTTAATAAAAATTCAAGGTATTAAAAGATAAATGCAGCTGCAGTATCTAACTAGACTTAAATTTAATAATACTGTAATAATATTCTTTAGTTTACAGTCTAGGGTTAGTGAGATTTAACTGGCAGTATAACTGGACAATGCTGTCATACAATTGTTGTATTAATGCAATAGTTTTATTCTATTTAACAAGCCTGGCGTTCAGATTCTTAACAGCAGGCAGGAAATTATAATTATTTGCAACCTAAAAGATAATCTAGCTTCCAGCTTTACAGTAGAATATTTAATTAATTTTTTAATACCAGGTTAACCCTAATATAAAAATCTCCGCTAGAATTCTAGTCTATTAAATAATATTAAATTATAACTTAATAATATATATATTTTACTAACTCTAATACTACTGCTAAACAAGAAAATATATCAAAAGGGTAGTATAATAAGGTTACCTAGATATCTATTGCAAATAAAATAGCCAAGCTGCATGAGTTTTGCTATTTGCGACACAATGCTAATAAAGGAAAATTACAATTTATTTTTTGCTTTTTCTGTCTTTCAGTACCCCTTTCCAATTGCCCCCTTTTTTTTTGGTTTCCTAGTAGGAAATATAGATGTTGCAGAGGGCTGCTGCCTTATATTTATTATTACAACCTGAAACCATAAGATATATACTCCAGATATATTATAAACTAATAAGCTAATTAAAAAAGAATTACAGCCTTAAGAGTAAGCTATCCTAGATAGATTATTATTATAAAAGTAAGCTACTATAAAAGAATTATAATTAAAATTATAAGCTTTATAAAATAACTTACTATATAAAACTATTTATTATACTTATTAAATATAGTTTAAATAATTAATTATTAATATAGTATTTATATAATAATTAAATTAAACTTTTATTTAAAGTTATTAATTATATAATTAAAATTATTTATAAAGTTTTTTATATTTTTTTATTAATATAAACTTAATATTAAAGGTTTATTTTTTAAAAATTAATTACTTTATATTAAATATAAAATTAAAATATTATATATTAAAAACTTTTATTTAAAAAAATATTTTAAATTTTTTAAATAATTAAATTATTATATTTTAAAATAATATTAAAAGTTAATTTATTTTAAAGAAAATTTTTTTTTTATTTAAAATAATAATAAAAATATTATTATAAAAAAAACCTTTAATTAAAAAAATATAAATAATAATAAAGCTGCTAAATTAATAAAAAATATATATAAATTAAATAAAATTTTTATAAATAAATTTAATAATAAAAGATTTATTAAAAAAAATATAAAAGTATTTATTAAATAATAACTTTTATTTATATTTAATAGTAAAATTAATAAACTTTATTTTTTTTTAATTTAACTTAAGGCTTATTTTAAAAATTTTAAAACTACTATAACAATCTATTATACTATTAAGCCAAACAGCGCAAAAGATTAAGTTAATAACCACTATTATAGCAGTTACTATAACAGAACCAGCGGCCTATAAAGGTTTTGCAGTTACAGTACACCAGGTTGTAATAACTACTTTTAATATAAAATATAAAAAGACTTTTTTTATAGTTTTTTACTTTAAAAAAACTACTTTTAACTAATTTTACTTAATATAAAATACTTACTTTAATAACCTAAAAAAACTTTTATTAATTTAAATTTAAGAAGTTTTTAATAGTTTTAAATAATTTAAAAAAAAAACTTGCTAAAGTATTTAAAAATATTAAAAAAATTTAAATAACTAAAAATAAACTTATAAATATTTATTAAAAAAGAAAATACTTTAATTATACTATAAAATTTAAAAACTTAACCTTTAGAGTTAAATAAAAACAGCCTGCTTTTATTAAGTAATTTTATAATAAATTTAAAAAAAGTATTAAAAAAAAAGTTTATAATAAAAATTAAATTAAATATAATTTAATTTTTTTTATAAAAAAATATATTAAAGCTAATAATTTACTTTATAAACTTAATATAAAAAACTAAAGCTTTAATAAGAAATAGTTAAACTAAAGTAAAAAATAATAAAAATTAATTACTAAAGATAATAGTAATATAGCTAGATTTATAAACTTTAATATAATATAAAAAAAAAAAAAAAAAAACTTTAAATATTATAACTGCAGGAAATTAAACTATATAATAAAAAACTATAAATTTTTTAAAAAAAAAAATTTATTATTTTTAAATTAAAAGTAATATATATTATAAATAAAAAAAATAAAAGTATTTATTTATTAAAATAATTAAAATCCTTTAAAAATATTAATAACTATAACTTTTATAAATTTTTATTTAAACTTTTAAATAAATTTAAAATATTAAATAAAAAAGCTAATAATAAAATCCTTAATTAATAACCTATTTATTAAGTTAATTTTATAAACTTAACTAATCTAGTTAAAGATATTATTTTAAAAAATAATAAAAATAAGTAATTAATAAAAGGGTATAATACTTTTACTACAGGGATATAACCTTAGGGGGGCATGATTTTTTATATTTTTTTATTAGCTAGAAAAAAATTATTAACTTAGGTAAAATTCTACTGCCTTTACCTAAAGTATTATTATTTTATTACCTATAGCTCTTTTAATTTATAAATTAAAATAATATATAAATATATTAAGCTTTTTTATTTATAAATTAAAAATATACCCTTGCTTTTTTAATTTATAAATTAAAATAACTTATAACTACCTTTCTTTTATAATATTAATGCTTTTATTTAATTTATAATATTTATTTTTTAAAGTATAAGCTTTAAATAAGCTAAGTAATAGTAAAGCTTAAGTTTTAGTAATTAATTACTAAAGAAAATAAAGCTATAAAGTTTATTTTTAAAATATTAATACTAAAGAATACTATAATAAATTATAAAGCTAAGTTATTAAAATAAACCCTATAAATAGCTATATTAAAGCTATAAAATAGTATTATTATAACTTTTTTAAAAATAATTAACTTTAGCTAGTAATTTAGCTTTAAATATTAATTAATATTATAAATATAATAATTATAATATACTTAATAACCTTTTTACTATATATTTATAAAGGTTTTTAACTTTATTATTTTTTTATAGCTTATAAAGTATTTATAAGCTTTTTTAAAACCTTTACTTTAATTATAATATATATCTTTATAGCAGCTTTTCCTGCAGATAACTACAGAGGCAGTAGGTTAAAGCGCCTATATTAGGCCTAAAGTAAAATATATTTATCTCTTTTTCTCTTAAGCTTAAATTACTGCTTTTATTTTTTTAGCTATTAATAAAAATAAAAGTTAAATTTAAAATTATTATAAGTATTATATAAAAGGTTATTAATAAAGGTTAAAGGCTAATTATAAACTTTATTTAATTATTTAAATATATATAAATATAATAAAAAAAATAAAGCTAGTTATTTTTAAACTTAAATATATATAATTTCTTTTTATTATATTTACTGCTTTATTTATTATTTATATAATTACCTTAAGTATTATTAATATTAATAAATATTAATTTATTTTTTATTAAATAATTTATATTATTTAGCTTTAATATAATTTTAAATTTATTTATTTTTAATAATTTAATACCTTTAGCTAAAGCTTTTTTTAATATAGTTAATATATTTATAAAAAAAAATAAATTTAAAATTATTTAATAAAATATATATTTTTATAAAAAGCAGTAAAAAAAGTACTTTTTTTAATATAATAGGTTTAAGCAGCCTTAAGTACTATAAGGCGCTAATATTTAAGTATAGAAATTATAAAAGTATAGCTATAAATAAATAATAATTACTAAAGCTTTAAAAAAAAGCAAGTAGCTTTTAAAGTATTATAAAAATTTAAACTATAGCTAATATAACTATAAATATAATATAATTATATTTATATACTTTTTATATTACTGCCTTATTGCATTTATATAAATAATTATTAAATTAACTAGTTATTAAATTAATATCTAGGTATATAATATTTATATTATAGTAAAATAAAAGTACTTTAATATTATCTTTATATAAAGAAATATTTATAATACTTAAGTATAAATTAATTATAAAAAGCTTAATAATTATATATTTATTATAGTATTAATTAAGCTTTTTAATAAAAAAAAAATCTTATATTTTATTAAATAAGCTAATAATAAGTTAAATTAGCTATTTAATTTTATTTAAATATTTTTATATTGCCTATAAATATAAAAGTAGTTTTTAAAGGTTTTAAGCTTTAATAATATTTATAATATTAATTATTTTAAACTTTTTTTATTTTAAGCTATTAATTAAACCTACTTTAGCTTAATATATAATACTATATAAAGTTTAATTAATAATAAAAAAAAAGATTTTAGTTTTTTATTAAAAATATATATTAACTTTTTAATTAATACTTTATTAAAAAGCTTAAAATTATTATTATTAATTTTAATAATTTAATAAAGGCTGCCTTTAATAATTAATTCTTTAATATATAGCAATAGCTTTATATATAATATATTTTTTTAAATATTATACTTAAGTTTAAATAAAAATAAATAAAAGTATAAAAAAGTAGCAGTAGTTTAAGTAATAGTAATAATAAAAATACTCTTTTTTAATTATAAATAAAGCTTAATACTGTAAATAAATAACTTATTAATACTTTAGTTAATAAAAAGATTTTTTATATTTATTAAAGGATTTTACTTATATAAAAGTATATACTTTATATTAAAATAAAAAATATTTATAAATAAATATAAAAAAACCTTTATATAAAG